GAAAATGATTTTGAATCCCAAAGCTTTTAGTAAGAAATCGGAATTATCTAAAAACATAATTAAATTCAGCAGATTTCATTCATATTTGATAAAAATTTTAGTGGGATTCCAAGAAAGTAATGATTGGAAAAAATTAAAATTTGAAATTTGGACATTTTAATTCGTTTCCGAGTAGCGGTTTTCTCGCTCCCAATCAGTTTCAGAATCCATTTCTTTTTTAAAGGTAAGACGGGCGTCGAAAGACTTCAAAGGGCTGTTTTTACAGGAGCCAAAGATAAATTTCCAAAAGAAAACTTTCTGCCTTTGCAATATTATCATTGATTTATTTTTATTTTCTCACATTTGTCAAAATTTGATAATTTTGTATCCGTTTTTAGCCTTTTTATCTTCTCCTTCCTTCATTGTATAATTTTTTCCATCTTTTTTTTTACATCGGAATAAGGAAAACGAGTGCATAGAAATGACAAAGTAAAAAAAACCCTTGGTCCATTAGGCTGATTGAGTGGGCGCGCATCGATTGGGCACGTGAGCTGGTGTTTGCTCGCTGCAGAGGTGGAGGGCGGGTGGGGGGTGGTTCACTTTTATCGGGTGCGACCGTGGGGTGCAACGAGATCGAAGGGAGGCCCTCTCTGAATGGCCGCGGCCGAGCAGAGGTGACACTTGGGCTGCCGGGGTTGTACGCCCTGCCCGCGATCGATGCCTCGCCGCGTGTGACGTCACCGCGCACCCCAGCAGGGGTCATGGCCCCCGTCCGCCCTCCCGCCTCGCCAGACACGGTCACCCTCAAGCAGCCCTGCAAATGCACGCGCCGACACCGATCGAACCAACCCCTCACTCGCTGCAGTACTCGACGACACCCCTCCTTGCATTTTCACCACATGGGAAAAATATTTATTTCCAAACTTTGCTCAGGATTGCCGGAATTATCAATTTAGCTGAAGAACATTCGGCATAAAAAAGAAATGATGAATAATAAATACATCTTATGATTAAATGTAAAATATTATGCAAAATTATTTTGTTAATTTAGTTTTGTTAATCTTCACTGATTCTTAAATTACAGATTAAAATTTGAATTTGGAAGTGAAAAATTTATTCTAAAAAATTAAACTGTTGTGGAAATATAATCAATGAGGATTGCAACGACTGCCAGGTTCATTAGGTTTAAATTTTTATAGACCACCCAGAAAGTCGCTGAAGAATTTTCGGAATTTTTATTCTAGGTTGTCCTGGCAGCATTTTTTTATAAAACGCGTCTGATAGAAGTGGAAAAAAAACATTAACTAAAAATTAGAGGGGTTAATTTCTTATATTCATTCTGGTTGTTTTTAGTTTGGGTTTTTTAATATCAAATCAGTTTAAATGCTACAAATTCGTATAGATTGGGGTCATATTTCATCCAAATTTGGATTTATTCATTAATTTTAAAATTAAGATAAAATTTAAAATCATTTTATTTTAATTTCAATTGGAAAACGGCAAAAATAAATTGCGAATTTAGCTATTTATTATAGAATCAATTTATGTCAGATATGGTTAGTTCAAAATCTTTTATTTCAATTAAATACCAAATTTTGAGTTTGTCAATTTTTGACTTTTTTAAAATTTGTAGCAAAATCTTTGATATTTATAAGGACCTTTTTTCCATCAATTTATTAATTCCAAATCCAATTTTCAAAATAATAATTTGATGTTTGAGATTGCAATTTTAAAATTTTTTAAGATAAAATTTGAAAATTAAAATTATTTTTATCTAGTTTACAATAAAACAGAAGTGTTAAAATTAATTCAATTGAAATTAAATGTTATTTTGAGTTTAATCACCTAAAATATAAAATTCCCCCCAAAAAATTTATCTGGCTGAATGGACCAGAGCGTAAATTCTTCTTTACAACAATGATGATGATTGAGATACGCAAAATAAAATTCCAAAATTTTGCACCTAAATTATAAAACAAATTTTTTTCGTCTCGCCGAGGGTGGAATAATTACACATAGTGCCTCGCTTGCGAGAGAGTGCGCAATGAAAGAAAAATCAATAAGCCCAACGTCCCGGAATCCCGGCTGCGGCAGGTTTTGTTTTTTTCCCCCGCCGGGTCGTTTTGCGTGTGTGCCTCGCTTTACTACGCACACTGTGCGGGGCGTGCGTTCGGCCGAAAGGTCAAAGGTTACGCGTTTTAAAAGCAAGGTCAAGGCAGGTGACGTCGAGGGGATGACGCAAAGGGGCGTGGCTGCTTGATCGAGCTGCGGCCTGGACCAGGCCCGCAGCTCGTCGTTGTGCCACATTTTTGCGTGGAATTGCAGACACGGGGCGGTTTCCGCGCGCAATCAATATACGTGTGTGCGGAGGAGCGTTTTCGCCCCCGCCGCCGCCGCGGAGGCCCCAAGGACAAATAAATAAAATGCCTGGGCTCGTCGAGAGCTGCTGTGCAAAAAAGAAACAAAACAATCGAGCCGCCCGGATTGTGCACCATGCCCGGCCGCTACAGTCCCCTGCGATGAATGGAAAAAGAAGAGATGAACGGGCGCAGGGGTGCACACGCGACTAGGGGTGGGTGGGTGGCTCTAGAAATGCCTATGACGCGAGTCTGCGGCAACGCCAAACCGCATCAATCATACCAAAGAGAGTGACATTCCACTGTCTTTTATCATTAAATAAATAATAAATATATTTTAAAATAAAAAATTGCGAAAAGAGAACAGCAGAGATAATAAAACTGTTTTGTTTTAATTCATAATTTTCTAATTCAATACAAAAATAATATTTATACACAAACTCTTGGCCGTAAAAACTATTAATTTTTTCGAAATTCACTTAAATATGGCAACAAATTTAAAAAAAGTATAATTTTATTGAGATTTATAACAAAAATTATTACAATCCCCTGGTTTTCTGATTGAAATTTGTATTTTGATGATATTAAAAAAAAAAACAATCAAACTTATTTTTGCTTCATATAGAAAAGACGCCTCTTTATTTTAACAAGTTCTTTTGCTTGAATTGTAAATTTGAATTGCCTTTCTTAACGTCCATACATAGCAGATTTAATACACAGTCAATTTTCTTCTCAGGAAAATAATTTTCATTTACAATTATTTGTAATTATTCAATTCTTTGTCTCTTGTATTAATCAATACTTTTTTTATTTAAAAAATTCCGAAATATTTGTAATATCAACAATTATTTTTCTTTAAACAGCTTTAAACTAAATCATTCTAAATTATTTGAAACTCTTGTACTTTTTTATTTTTTGCTCAATTGACGAGTTTATGGGAAAAATTGTCCTCATCCGACAGTCATGGCCACGACACGACGAGTTGCTAGTTACGCATCAGAAGCTCGTACTCCGCTTTCAAGGTCACTCGTTTCAATCAATACTATTTCCGCGCACCGCCCCGAATCCATTGCTCCAAATATTTGGCCAAAATCACTGGCCGGATGAAATTAAAGCTCTTTTGAGCGCGCACGTGTCGTGTTTGCCCGACTCGTGCGTGTCATTAGCGGATTTTGGCAAAAGCTGCTGCTGCGAACAAATATTTGGGCCCCGGCAGGGGTGGCTTTTCTACGTCACGAGATCAATAATCAAGGCCCACAAATTTGTTCGAGCACAAGTTGCGACCCCTCTTGACAATCTGAATCAAAAATACAAAAACAAATTATTAAATTTTTATAACAAAATCTTCAATATATTGAATAAACATTCTCTTCTAACATTTTTACTAAATTTTTCAGTAATTTATTTTTTATTATCTCGGAGGTCTCGTTAGAGTTGTCGCCATGGTTACGCCTTGTGACGTCACGCGAGCTGCGAATCTAGCGCGTCACGCGGTAATGAGGACTCTGTTGACGTCATATGTGCAATGCCGATTGTGTTGAGTGTGTGTGCACCCGGTGTGCGTCCGTCTGGCGCTTTGTTTCTCGGCAGCCCACTTGACCTACCGCAAATTCAATTTTATTACATAAATATAGACAAACGCAATATTATCGTCTTTGCACTCCAAAGCCCCCTTTATTTGCAAGGCCTCAGCACGCAATTTGTTTATTTTTTGCACACGGCCCTTCCCTTTTCCCCTGTCATGAAATGCAATTCACAATTCACACACAACAGTTTTACTCAAAATTTTTTTAATCTATTTTTTTTTTTAAATTGATAACATTGATAAATATAGTTATGAAGATTTTTTTTTTAAATTTCTAAAAAGAATTTTAGCGATTTATGAATTGCTTATTTTTTTTCGCCTTTTTGATCAATACATGAAACATGAATTATTTAAATGAAGCCGCACCTGTTTTCTGATAAACTTCCTCTCTGCCGTCCATCCCAATGTTATTTCAATAAATAAAATTTCTGAAAAATTTCCAATTTAAATTTGAACTAATAATTCCCGTTTTGCAATTCCGACCGACGCGTTTTGATGATAAACAGAAACGAGCGCGCAGACGAGATCATAAATCAAGTCGAGTCTCCGCAGGCGCCTGCAATTTTTCGCGTTATGCAACCGGTCGGAGAGAGGAAGCGCGCTGGTTGCATAAGCTCGATGAAAAATCACTTTTTGCACCTGCTCAGTGCAGTCTGCTGAACGAAGCAAATCAATATTATGAAATACTAAAACTTAAAACATGCTCATCATTTTCATTCCGAATGAATAAACTTATTTTTCTAAAATGATATTTTAAATGGAATAAATTATATAAATAAATTGTTGAAATAAATTTTCACGAATTTACTATGAAACAAATTTGATAAGGAAATTAAAATATTGACAGAAGAAGGGGAACATTTAAAATTTCATCTTTATTGTAATCTTCAATGAAATAAATTTAAATTCTTTGAGAAGAAGCGGGAACTTTTAAGGTGAAAATCTTTTTTTTAAGTCACTCTATTTCTGTCACTTCAACATTTGTATTTGTTGCCTTTTTTTAAATTTCTCATATTTTTATCAAACCATTTTCCATCAAAATTAAAAATTTTAACCAATCTGTCAAATTTGTGTTGCAGGAAGTCAATTGGCTCGCCGACCAAAAGCACAGTGAGACCGGCTGCAATCAAACGCAAAGTACAAATGGACCCCCAACCGAATTTTTCACGAGTCGACGTTCGCTCGGCAATTACCGAGAGCAGTGAATTGCTGAAGGAGGTCAAATCGTGGTACAAAGAGCTTGAAAGGGACTCGTCTCGTCCTGCCGAAAAACAGGAAGTGGCTCCCATTCGAAGACCCACTGCGGCGAGGCGAGCAGATTTTGAAAAGGCTGAGAAGAAAAGACGAGCCAATTTGGAGGAGGACGATTTGCGCACGGACATTGAGAGTCTCAGAAAGGAGGTGAAGCGCTTGACAAAGAAAATCGCTCACAAGTCGGATAAGAAGCGTTCAAATGTAAACAAAAAAATTATTAAATTAAAATTAATTAATTTTAAATCTTTCAGAAACATAAAAGTGTTGATGTCAAAGAAAACAGACCGAAAAGTAGATCTTCTATTGAAAAAATTAATCAATATTCAAAAAACGTTGCACTTGAAGCTGCTCATTATTTTGAAACAGAATCGAATCAGCAAAATCAAAACCTGACAGTTCGAACTCTTCAGGATCTAGTAATTCGAAGACCACTTTCATTTCAATCAGGTTTGATTTTTTCAAATTAATATGAATTATTCTTTAAATTATTAAACATAAAATATAAATCTAGGCCCTCGAATTGTAATTTCGCCAAAGCCAGTGTTGTCGAGAGTTAGTAACGTGCAATTTGCCACTTTTGAGCACCAGTTGTCGGAACCGGAAGCGCCCAAGACTCCGGAACGGCCTTTAAGGGAACTCCAGATTTTCCAAAATCAACTCCAAACCAGAGACGAACAAGTTTCCACCGACCAGGTCGTTGTATTTTCGGCCGCTTGTCAAACCTCGCCGCCCCAGGTTTTCAACATTTTTGCACAAACCGAAGAAATAGTGGTCAGAAAAAGGGACACCATGGTTTCGGTGGCGGTTCAAAGTTCGCCCGAAGCCAAAATCCTTGTCTCTGATCTCCAAGTACAGACTGAAGTCGTCCAAGTACGGACTGTCGCAACGGAGACCATTTTCAGTCCGCCTCCAGTTAACAAAGGTTTGTATAATTATAAAAAAAGTAATAATTTGAAAACTGGATTTTATAAAATAATTAAAACTGGATTGAATGAAAAATTAAAACACATAAATTTAGTTTTAGATATTGAGCCAGAAGTTACAAAGGTACCGAATGTAGGACCAGCCGGAGACTCAGTTTTACCACAGGAAGTACAAGAAAAGACGAAAAATAAGGAACCGTCCAGACTAAGTGGTGCTAGTTTATCTCCCATACTGGAAGTTTCGTCTTCGAATGCATCCCCTGACTTCATTGTTTCGCCCTTGACAACTCCGAAGGCGAGTTTGGTCATTCCAGACTCGAGCAAATCCGACCAGTCTGAGTCATCGCCAGAAGTGAAGAACAAGCAAAAGCACAGTTCGCCGCCAAAAACGGTGGCGTTTGCTGACCTGCCTCTCCTGCTGCGACTCAGGTCGCCAAGTTTGAGGGTCAAATTGCCAGATTTTCGAAGGCGCTTCCCGAGGCAAGATGGATCGAAAAGCGATTCATCTGAATCGAGCTCAGACAATGACGTAAATATTAAATTTTAGGAGTAATTTTATTTAAAACAATTTCAATTTTTCAGGATGAAACAGTAACAAAAAGCAATGAACCTCTGACGAGTGAAATTCATACATCGTCGGAAAGTAGGTCTGCCTCACCAACAAGTACTGCAAGTTCTATTGAATTCACGGTAAATTTTTTAATAAAATAAATTAAAATCAATGTAATATTTTTTCCCTAAGACTTCGTCTAGTGCAGCTTTCATCCCAAAAGCTCCGATTGCCATACCTGCATACCAAATGAAACGAATAAGGTCCCTGGCAGCAAAAAGTAAGGCAAGCCAAAAGATAATGAAGATTTTTGCTAATTACTACTATTTTCAGTGGCTCCAAAGCTTCTCGAACACTCTGCCAGTGATGACGGAGAACTGAGTGAAGGACAAGTTTGGCCGTTGCCCAACAAAGGCACAAAGAAAATCTAGCAATAATGTCCGAGGTGTTTTCAAAAAGGTGTCTTGCAAAATTGCTCATTCCAAATTTGTTTGAACTTTGTTTTTGTGAAATAAAATCTAGAAATATATTCGTGGTAGCAAAATATTATTATTTGGAATTACACACGCAGATTATTTTCCTTTTATCAGTCTTAAAGGGTTGATTAGAATAATAATTTCTTAGAGACTTCTTCGGTTCTGAGAAGACTTGAAAAACATAACAATCCCGGTTATCTCGGGAGATTCATGGAAACCCCATTTTCGGTGGGGTCGATTCACTCCTGGAAAGTTCAGAACAGGGAGTAATGGAGGGCCTTGATTATTTTGAGCTTCTTGCTGGTGACTGTGTTGCGCAGGGAGATGTCGTGGCCTTGATAGACCTCACAAATCTGCTCTATGTTCGTGTAGCTGCCACTCTCGTTGAAGGTTGCGCTCAGTTTGTACATTTTGCCTGAGCTGAGCATCACAGGTTGACTGAAATTGCACCTGGAACAATTCGTATCAGACACATTAAAATTTTTCCAAAAAAATTGAGAGCAATAATTGTAATTTAAGTGAAATTATAAGTAGTATTTTTACAAGAAAATTGCAGGAAAATTGAAAAGTAACAACTCTGGAACTTTCAACTTTACATAAATTGCATTAAAATTATTCGACTAAATATTTTATAATTAAAAGACTCGGAAATAATTAAGATTCAATTCTGATTTAGAAATTTAATCTTATTGTAAATTGCTTTTTTATTTTATTTTTTTTTTTAATAGAAAATGTTACTTTATGTCTGCTTTTAATTTGTGTGATTTTTTTATTTTTGACAGAATTTCTTAATTTAAGAAAATGCTACCTGTTGATGCCTGCTCTTGTAATTTTCTCCTTGTAGAATTCCTGATGAACGAGCTGGTGGTTCTCACCAAAGATGGCGATTTCGATGTCCTCAACGTAATATTCGTCTTCGTTGTCCCAGTCAAACAAGATTTTTTCCTCGTTGGAAATCCTCTCGGGAAAGGAAACGCCGATGAGCCGCACGTTTTTGTCACAGCTGAACTTGACGACGGTCTCCATGCGGTTGGCCTCTGAGGTTTCAATCAACCCCTCGCCCAGTGACGCGTTCGTCATGCTCTCGTGGAAAACAAATTTAGGCTTTTTGAGGAATTTGGCTCGACGGACTCTGTCTGTCTCAGAGAAGCCTCTGGGCAGTGGCAACTTGTCCCGGCTGATGATGTTGACCAGCAGGGCGTTTTTCTCATCTAGAGTGAAGTAGTTGACGTGGATGAAGCGCTCGGTGAAGTCTTCGGGGCTCATGGTGAGGAAGCGGAATTTGGGCAGAATCGAGCCGAGCACGTTTCGCAGCTGCAGAGGCTCGATCTTGCGTTGGCGCCGACTCGCCTCTTTCTCGGCCCAACGGAAGGCGGCCGAAATCAGATTGGCCTCACTATCCAAATTCAGGTTTTCCTCGTTGACGATGGCGGCCAGAGTGGAAAATTTCACATCTTCAAATGACGGGTGGCACAGAATTGTCTCGCAACTGTCACAAATAACCTGAAATTATTAACAAATTATTAAATAAAAAAAAACATTATTTGGTTTCGAGGAATTTAGGGAGAAATTGAAAAAAAAATGTCTCTTAAATATGAAATTAAGTATAGCTTTCCTAATTTGTATTCTAATTATTTTTAACCAAATTAAACATGAGAAATAAGACATCAGATTGAATTTAAAATTATATTTAATATTGACATAATATGACAAATTTTATTTATTAGTTGAAGTTTTTCAATATTATATTTCATTGCTTCAAACATTGACAAAGTAAATTTTCACTCAAATAATAAATTTATACCTTAAAACTTGTGTCCCTAAGATTGATGTAGCCGATCTCATCAGCAATCTCGTAGCATTTGAGGATGTTGTCAGGTCTCAGGTTGCTCATCAGGTACAGGTAACATTCTTGCTGCAATTGAGTCAGCAAATATTTCTGAGCTGCGTAGAGAAGCGCCAAGCCTAGTTCAACGGAAGACGGCTCCAGTTTGCCAGTGTAAAAATAGCTGAAATGTTGCAAACTAAATATATTTTGCAAAACAAATTATAATTACATGCCTAGTCATAAGTTTGAAGGTGTCTGGCTCAATGTCAGTGACCTCGATGACCTCTTCATTGCCGGACAAAGGTCCATAGAGCATCGAGGCAAAGACTGTGCTTGCGTAGGAGAGAACTCGGCGGTGACATTTTATCACCTGAACGAAAATCAAAAAAATTTATACGAATTATTTAAATTAAGTTGTTACTTTTACCTCTCGTTTGTCGTCTCGACCACAGCCAACGAGAAAGGTGCAGTCGGTATTTTCAGCGTTCCACAGCAAAAGGGAAGCATCTCGATTCCACAGCGACTTGTGATTTTGCCAGTCATAAATTGGCAGATCTGCGGAAATGTCCTGCAAATTTTCAAATAAATCACCGATTAGAATTCGCAAAATTTGAAATTCCAAAAATAGCCCTGCTGCTGCGAGCCTATGTATGCATTACCTGAAATTTGAGTCTCTTTCTCAGGATGAAGAATTCCTGGTCGTCCTCCTCCTGTTCCTCGTAAGAATCAAGTTCCTTCGACTGGTCGTCTTCACGGGAATTCTCTTCCATTGTGGAAAATCCACAAATCCGATGAATTCAATCGCTGAACCAGCCTTCAGCCACCTTTGTTTATATTTTTTATTTCTTGGATAAAGTGGGCGTGTCTTGATTTTGAATTTTTCGCGAAAATTCCTAGGAGGTTTGTTTGTTGATGTTTTTTATGACGTCACAAAAATTTACCGAGCCGTCCGAGCCAGTCAAAATGTCTTCCCTCGCAAGGTAAACTTTGCGTTTTTGTCGCAGTTTTTCGCTAATTTTGCCATCAATTTCTAAGCCATTCGCTTTCTAATTAAATTCAAATGAATTCTGAATTAACGAATTTCTCATTTTGCAGCTTTTTGCCTGCTCCGTCCCAGCCAACATGGGACAGAGACGAAGAAAGGAGAAAGATGATGGCCAAGCAGGCGAACATGGCCATGATTCCAGTAGGCCCCGCCGCTCCGCCGTACGGCCAGAGACAAGGGTGGATTCCAAGAAATCCAGAGGTAGGTCCATAATTTTGTCTTGGTACTTTTCTAATTGATCTGTGACAAAAATCCCTCACAAAGTTTTCTGTTTGGGAATGTTTGACTGTGTTTCAATAAGTCTGTAATTTTTATCGATTTTTTTTTCTCAGGATTTTAGCGATGGAGGAGCCTACCCTGAAATCACAGTTGCCCAGTACCCGCTCAGCATGGGGAGACCGGAAAAGGCAGCTTCGTCAAATGCGCTAGCCGTCCAGCTCGATGCAGAGGGAAAAGTTAAATACGATGTCATTGCAAGGTAAAGTCGAAATATTATTAAATATATCATCAACATTTTCAAATTTTCAGACAAGGTCATGCCAAAGACAAAATCGTCTACTCAAAATTGTCTGATTTGTTGCCGGCTGAGGTTGTGGCCGAAGACGATCCTTCACTGTCCAAGCCAAATGAAGAGGAAATTGAAGAAAATACTGAGAAGACTCGCCTTGCTCTTGAAAAACTCACTCAGTCTAAAATTGATGCCGCCATGCCCGTGCGTTGTGCAGAGAAAGTGGTATGTTAATTAAAATTCCAATTTTGAGCTTGAAACTAAATAATTTAATTTTTTCAGGGTCCGGCTCATTACATCAGGTACACGCCTGCGCAGCAAGGTGCGTCGTTCAACTCTGGCGCCAAGCAGAGGGTGATTCGCATGGTCGAGCTGCAGTCGGATCCGATGGAGCCGCCCAAGTTCAAAATCAACCAGAAGATCCCAAGAGGCCCTCCCTCTCCTCCGGCACCGGTTATGCATTCGCCCACCAGGAAGGTCACTGTCAAGGAGCAGAAGGAGTGGAAAATTCCACCGTGCATCTCAAACTGGAAAAACGCCAAGGTAAAATTTAGTTGTAAATCAATGAAGGAAGAAAATTAATTTGAGCTGTTTGATTTTAGGGTTACACCATTCCATTGGACAAGCGTCTGGCTGCTGACGGTCGTGGACTACAACAGGTCCACATTAACGAGAACTTTGCTAAGTTGGCAGAAGCCCTTTACATTGCGGATAGAAAGGTGGGTTTTAATTTGTCACTTTTAACTGTGGTATTTATGGATTTTAATCAATTTCAGGCAAGAGAAGCTGTGGAAACAAGAACTCAGCTTGAAAAGAAGGTAGCGCAGAAAGAAAAGGAAAAGAAGGAGGAGAATCTCCGCCTCTTGGCCCAGAAAGCTCGAGAGGAGCGAGCTGGCATCAGAAGAGATGCGGCTACAGGTAAATTATATCATTATTTTAAGTTATTTATTCTTATTCCTTTAAAATTGAAACTATTTTTTAAATTTAGAAAAAGATGAGGAAGTCCGCGAAAGAGATCAGCTGCGGTATGAGCGTCATAAGGAGAGAGCCCGTGAAAGAAATATTGCCAGGGCAGCACCAGATAAAAGGTTAATACTTTATCTTAGAATATTTTTGTTAATTCTAATCAATTTTTTAATTTCAGAAATAAGCTTCAGCGAGAGAGGGAACGCGATGTTAGTGAAATGATTGCCCTTGGCATGCCAGCTCGCGGACAAGCGTCTCACGAGACTCAGTACGATCAGCGACTCTTCAACACCAGCAAAGGCATGGACTCTGGTTATGGCGACGATGAAGCTTATAATGTCTACGATAAGCCTTGGAGGGACAACAGCGGCCTTGGCCAGCACATTTATCGTCCGTCTAAAAATGTCGACAAGGATATTTATGGAGACGATTTAGACAAGTTGATGAAAACAAACAGGTTTGTTATTTTGATACTTACCAAAAAGAGTAATTTTAATTTCCCTAAATCTTTTCTCTTCTGCAGGTTTGTGCCTGACAAAGACTTCAGCGGTACGGATAGAAATGCAGCACCACGAAGTGGACCAGTTCAGTTTGAGAAGGACGAGGAGGATCCCTTCGGTTTGGACCAGTTCTTGACGCAGGCCAAGAAAGCAGCTGCCAGCAAGCGACCCAAAGATGACCGTGACGGCCGTAAAGAAGAAAAGTCTAGTTACGATCGTGGAGATAAGCGTCGCCGCAAGGACTAGATTTATTCTGTTAATGGACTTTCTTTGATTTCTTCTCTTAATTGTAAGCCACTAAAAGAAAACAGATTTTTAATTAATTTGATAGTGTTTGTTTTGCAAAATTAAGATATCCACTTAGAAAACAAAAAAGATGGTTTATTGTAGTGTACATGAGCCAGGAGCAACAATCATAAATTTGTATGGAATAATAATTTAAATCTTGGCTAAGCTAGCTTTATACAAGTTATTATCCTCATCGTCAGTGGTTAATCTTCTTAGTTGAATCATTACATTCAGTAACAGTACATTTAAAAGGCAAAAGCATTATTCAAAAGCCAATCCGACAGACGCGAACGGCACCAAGGGACTAGAGTTTTCGACATCAAGAGCAACAACCATACAATCTGCTGAGGCCGTGTGATCGCCCAGCTGCTCAAGTGCCAATCCAAGCAGATGCCTTCAAAAATTAAAATTAGATTTAAATTAATTGTTTAAATCACATTTTTACCAAGTTTCGTACTCCTGTGGATACAGTTTTGCCGCCTTCCATAAAAAGAACTCTGCCATTTTATTCTTTCCCATTCCCAAATAAGCTTTGGCCTGCATTAAAATTTAAAAATTAAATGAGAAATAAAGAAATTGAATATATTTCATTTACCAATTGTTGAAGAGCCCTCAGATTATTTGGTTCAAGGGACGCGGCACCTTCAAAACAATTCTTGGCCTCTTGATAATTACCATCCATTTCACTTATCAAACCCCTCTATTTACAACATGATTAGTAAAATAGGAAAGTTAGAGAATTTGAAAACAAACCGCTATTAGAATATCAGGAGTTGTTGAGTGAATCTGAACAGCCTCATCTATGCACTTGAGTCCTTGTTCTCGCTGCTTGGAATGTAAGCACAGTTCTGCCATCAACAACCAAATCTTAGCCAGCAAATCCCAGTGCTGACCCTTGATTTGCTTTCGAGGAAGTGATGAGACAGACGAAACCGACATTGGACCTCCCCCGTTCAAAACTCTTGACTGATTATTAGAACCTTTTTTAAACAAAAAATGAGCAATCTTTCATATCAAGAAATCTAATGAACTACCATTTTCTGAAAGGTGAAACAAGCTCCTTGATTCGGACCGTCTCTCCGACTGGGTGGTGTCTTCGCTGGGTGCCGTGTGGTCTTCGTAAAGCTTTTTCCAAAGCATCAACATTTTGCTGGCAGTAGCTTTGGCAGACTACAAATGATTGTAACTTATTTTCTGTTTTTTTTTTAATAATTTTAATAAAAACATACTTCAGGTCCACTGAGATGAAGTTCAAGTTGCGATTTAAGGTACAACAAATCCATGGAATCGGGCCATTCTTCCAGAGAAAGGACCACAAGGTTCATGGCTTCTTGGTATTGCTTTTGGGCAGTGAGAAGTAAACTGGAGATTTCAATTGAATTAAAGTGTTCTTTGAATATCTTATTCAACCTACCATAACAAATTTAAAGAGGGTGCATGATCTGATCTCAAATTCAGAGCTTGCTTGATATTGGAAATTGCTTCGGGAAGCCGACGGTTGTGGGCATAGACGAGTGCCAAGTAATGGTGGATCAAATGGTCCCCAGGCCCCATCGACTGAGCCCTAGAAATTTTAATTACAAGTTATATTTAATTCAATCATGATTAAAGTTTGTACTTTTGGAGCATTTCCAAGGCCATGGACGAAGACTTAGTCCTATTGATGTGTTCAAGACCATACAAGGCTTGTAAGTGGTAGCCAATGCCCAGCATCATGTAACTCCGGGCAGATTGAACTGCATAGGGTGACCCTTCTTTGCTTTCACATGCTCTCTGGCTCCATTTTATTCCATACTCATACTGCAAAATATTAAAATTTCAATAAGCATAGCTATGTGACTAAAAAGTAAAAGCACAATCTATGATTAAAAAGTTGTAAATAAGCTTATTATAACATTTGACGTCCAAATTGTCAGACTTTTAATATTGAAAAAAATTTAAATTACGTCTTTCAAATTGGCGTAGCAAACTTTTGCAGCCATCAAGCATGGAGCAGCAGCATGAGGGTTCATCCGATAGTGCTCCTCCATCACTCGCAAGGACTGGGCGTACTCGCCGATGGAAATCAGGGACAGGGCGTACTGATGCCAGGTGTGAGGCTCGTCAAAACTGAACTTGATTGCTCCTCTTTCCAAACACTTCAATTCCAAGATATTTAGAAATAAAAAATGATTGAATTAATCTTTATACTTCGTGGAATAATTTAGTTTGGCCCCATCTTGCCAGGCAGACGATCAACAAGTTGTACGAAGTGCACGCCGTCTCAAACGCCTTCAACCTCTGCTCCTTGAACTCGGGACTTTGGCTCAAGACTGCATTTCTCACTGCCATTGCCTCACTTGAATAAAATTTATTAACATATCCCTATTTTTGTTTAATTACTCTTCAGACCTGATCAGAAGTAATAGGATCGTTTCTTCGTGTTCGTTATTTGGGATGAACATGTTCATGTTGTGATTCTTTTTAGGCTTCCATGCTCCATCCTTTTTCTTTTTGGGCACTACGATTAAAAAAATATTGTATAAATTTATAAAAAAATTATTTTTTCACTGTTTTACCCTCAATTGACTGGTAAAGTGGTCCATTTACGTAGCCTCGCATGAGCAAATCGGCCAAGTTTTTGGCCAAATTGAGACGCAGGCATTGTGTTCCATTGCTCTCCTCTGCACTAAGCAAATACCTGGATCATAACAAATTAATTAATTAGAACTTACAATTTTTGAAAAAATAAATAAAAAATGAATCGGAAACGTCAAAATCACTTATTTTTTAGATCCCTTGTTGGACGTGAGACCCATCCAGATCAAGCTCGAAGTGGGTCTCAGCATTTTTTTTGTCAATTTTTAAGAAATAATTTCGTTTGAAATACATTTTAATTTTAATTAATTGAATTTGCATTTATTACCAAGTCAATTTAATACAAATGAATAAGTAAAACTTGATAGTACATTGAAATTTAATTGATTAAATTTAAAATGTATTTCATACAAAATTATTTCATAAAAAAATTTTTCTTATATGAACCTAAACCCACCAAGACTGGCCGTAACCCTCCAAATTTGAAAATGAACTATACTGTCCATAAATTGCACCTGAGTCTCTGAACTTGTCCTGGCTGCAGCGACTTATTTGGAGAAGGAATGTTGGCAGTCTGGTTGCGCATCAACAGTTGATGGAGAATCAGACCGGTGTCTCTCCAAGCCTCAGCTCCAAGAAGCTTGCCAGGACTAGGTGGTTGAGGAGAATAAGATCCTGGAATAACCAATATTTTAATCAATTCGATTGAAAAATACTGAAAAAAAATGCAAACCTCCAGCAGTCAGGGTACCCGTGTTAGAATTGAAAGTCGTAGCACTTTTGTCGTCCAGCTCTTGCAAATAAAGGAATGTCAAGTCGGTCGCAACTTTCATGCACCTGTCTATTTTCTCTTGTGCATCCGATTGCTTAAACTTAGGGTGGCGAGTGGACATGTTCTTTTCCAAACAAATGCCTGAAATATATATATTTTTAAATTGAATTTTCAGTGATAAAAAAAGTTCAAACCTCTGATGGCAAATGACTCTGCTACGATTCGAACACTGCGGCATGGTAAATTTTTCTCAGCTAGGTTTTCTAAATCTGCCTTTCGGAAGTTCTCCACGGCCTCCTCGTAATTTCCGCAAGCGTAGCTCAACTTGCCCAGCAGCAGATACGCGTCGAGAGAAACTGCAGCCTGCAAAAATTTTCATTGGAAATTTGCAAGAGTGGCAATTCGAGTGCAATACTTTTGACTCTGGTGAATTTGCATCCTCAGCTCCGGCCGCTCGCACCAGATACTTCTTGGCATCGTTCAATCCGATCTTGGCCTTGTGGTGAGAAGTCTCTAGCGGAGGGTTGTCTAGCAAGTACGATTCTAACTTGCCCTCTCCTATCAAAAAGGCAGCGAGGATTTCTAAAAATAAAGGAAATTTAGCAAAAAATTTAAAGAAGGAAATTATTTATAAATTTTATTCTTTTAATAGATCAGATTTTTTTTATAAATTTCCTTACCTAAATGCGGAGATCTTGTCCGAAGTTGTTCTGCTAGGTCAATCACCCTTCTCCAGTTGCTTTCGTCCCTCGCAATTTGGATGTCAGACTCGAGCCTCGCGGTCGTTTTCGCCCGGTTCGCCATTTTTCTGCAAAATCAAAACCTTTAAATCAATTCCCGAAAACTCAAATGCAATGCCAAGTTAATATTCGACCTCTGGGAATCAATTTACAGAGCTGAAAGCGCAAGTTTATTATTCAATTTGTTTAGTGATGAATAAGGCAAAAATCATCCCCTCAAAAGTGGATCAACTTTAAACGAATTTCCCAGCAAATCGTGACTTTCTTTTCCAATTCGTCAGCTCACCTTATCTACGTGGATCAATTCTCACGATACGCGCTAGTGCAAAGGCATCGTAAAATTAAAATTCGGCTAAAATTATTTATCTTTTCGGTGACAAATTGCTCGTTCCATCGTCGTATTTTTCCAACTCAGGTGGGTGTTCGATCCGACAGTCTGCCAAAGAGCTCAAAGCTTTGGCGCGTCCTCATTGGTGCAATCGCGACCAATCGCAGACGAGAAATCCACTTTCTATTTCATTCATCATCTGCTCGCCCCCAGCACGAAACGTAACGTGAACGCGCTCGAAAGCGCTGCTTTTCACAAAATTCGGCCCTTTTTCGGCTGCATTCGCCTCAGTTTGGTCGACAGGTGGGTACCGAAAAACACCTCAAAGCTCGCACTTTTCGGCCGCATATCAAATTCAGATAAATTTTTGCGTCCTGCACTGAGAAAAATTAGGCCAAATTCCATTGTTTATGACGCAGCCAGCATCCACAAACAAATTAATATCCTCTTTATATTACAAAGATCAATATTTGATTTTCAAATTGGATGGAAAACTTTCCTCGTCGCCTTCTGTGATGACAGGAAATACTTTATGATAAATTATAAAATCCGGTTTCGAGTGATATTGGTTGCATTTTAGTTTTCAAATTTATTAAAACAACTTTTTTATAATTTCAGAGGCTGGTACATCACAGACGCCAGACTGTCTGGGTGTTGATTAGACGAAATTAATTTAAAATACTCCGATGCCAGAATGCCCAGCAAGAAGAAGAAATACAATTCGAGATTTCCTCCAGTACAAAAACTGAAAGTTTGTCATAAAAAAAAAATAATTTTTGCATTATTTCGCAGGGTCGAATCAAGAAAATTATGCAAACAGACGACGAAGTTGGAAAAGTAGCCCAAGCAGTTCCTGTCATCATCTATATCCTTTTCACGCAATTCAATGCATTTTTCGACACATTATAAATTTAAATTCTTGGAAAATTCCTTGACTTATCACACCTAGAGCACTAGAGTTGTTCGTCGAGTCGTTGCTGACCAAGGCGGTGCAGATCACAACTGCTAGAAATGCCAAGACTTTAACCCCTTCACACATGTAATAATATAGTCAGGTTTTTACTTCCGTGCATTTAAATAATTCACAGTTGTCTTGAAATACAAAATTAAAATCTTATTAATATTAAAAATGAAAACTAATCATTATATTTTTTAAAATTGAGCTTTTAAAATCTTATTTTTTTTCAAGTTTTAAAAAAGAAATAAAAATTAAAACAAATTCAGCAAAAGGGAAGCATTATTTTTTTTTTATCTTTAGTACTCCGACCATATTAAAATTTCTGATAACATTATTTTATGCTCAATTTTTTAAATTTATATCACGAAATTTTTTTTTCAAGATAAACTAACTAAGCAAGATTGTTAATGTAAAATTTAATTATTTTTCAGGAAGCATTGCATTTTATCGGAGAGTCGATTTGATTTTTTGAAAGAATTTGTAAAGACGGTACCTGACTTAGTAGGGGATACGGATGACATTCCAGGGTCATCAACAGCAACACCAAGCTTAGAAGAATTTGCATCCCCTCCCATGCTGACACTTCCTAAGTAGGAATATTTAATAAAGACAATTTTTATTTTTGTATGTAAAAATTTTAATTTTTTCAGTGGTGTGCATATTGCTGTTGGCCCGAGTGACTCGGCCGCAGCAGCTGTGGCAATCGCCCCTGCCGTGCGGCACTTGCCTGTGCCCCCGCCCCTGGAGCCCTTGCTGCAACCAACCCTACCCGCAGTGCCTCCCCTGATCTACTTCCCTCAGCCGCCACCAGCCAAGAGCAAAGCACCGTTCCCGTCAACGTCGTCACCCTCTCACCTCGAAATCGACGAGGACTACGATGCTGTTTGAACAAAAAATTATTGAGACTTTGATTGCCGCGAAGATTTTCAATTCATCCATGCCAAACCAGCGTAATCCACCTCAATTTAATGCATGATTTGTTTTATAAGCGGATGGAAAGACAGAATGAATCATTTGACTTTCGGGTTTGTCTCGTCCGAACATTTCATCACAATATCAAAAGCGTTTTGATTAAGTTCTTCACTTCACCAAAATTGATAAGTGTCTTAAACAGTGTGTGTGAAAGATGTACTCTGGAAATGTGCAGTTTGAACCAGTAATAAATTATTTTGTAGAATTTCAACCAACTTGTTTGATTATTTTAGTTCGACTCAAATCAAAATATTCGTATTTTTTTTTTAACCTGAAGATAAGACAGTTGATAATTTTTAATGTTTCAATACTCTATTTTCATTTAAAATATTCTTCCCATTGATATAACTGCTATTTTTTGGGTCACTGAAATGAAAGAAAAAGACATTTTCATATTAATTACAAAATATATATTTTGAATAAAATGATAATGCCATAGCACAAGCAATAACTTGCCTAGAACCAAGACAATAAACGCCAGGGTGCACGCATCACATGTTGGGAAATAAGGCACTTCGATTTTTTTTTATTATTATTTTTAAAAGAGTAAAATTAGCTCTGCCGAAACACCCCGGACAAAATGCTTTTTATTTTTAAATTAAAATTTCTCAAATTGAAAAAAAAATGCACAACTCATTTCATTTGTACTGCTTTGAGGCAACAGATTATATATTGTTATTTTTTAAACTTAAATTCGCTCCTGTCAGGCCCCTCTCTACGAGAAGCGGCCACCGGCATCCGATCCTGCTTCATCGCTCATAAATAATCATTGTGATCATAATATACAAAATGCTATCACCCCTTGCACTGGAAGACTCGTAATATTGCGTACACGTCGTTTCGTAGTAGAATTATCCTATTTACAGAGATTCGGTAATAAATAGTTTTTGCAATTACAAGTTTATTAAGTGTTTCGATTTTATATTTGTCTGAATGACAAATGTAACATCTGTAGCGTCTATTTATAAGATTTTACAGTTTCACCCAAGGGAAGAGGCGCATGTGTTAGCTTTTAAAAAATAATTAATTACTTGCAAAAAGAGGACTGATTTTTTTTTTAATTTAATTTGAATGATAAAATTTGTAATTATTATTTTAGACTTCACAAAAGAGAAAAAAAAATGAAATTATTGGATAATTGCATCGTAAAAATAAGTTCAAATGACTTAGTTAAATCTTTTTAAGACAAATTTCAAGATTTTATTTTGCAAATAAGCAATTCTGTGCCACCTCCCTAAAAATCATTCACTCGATCAATCAATCTCTCACACAATTGGTTTGATTTTCATCAATTCATGGTAATAATTTCTCATAAATCTGCGTTTAAAAAAATCCGTTCCCGATCACTTTTGATTGTGTAAATACCGAGTCAGCACTTCAACAATAACAAGAACCATTGTCAGTGATAGTCGTTGTCCTCGTAGAGCCGCTCGCACTTCTCCAGCAGTCGCAGCACCGGCTTGATGTTGTACGGGAAGAGAGCCTTGGAAACGAGGCGGTTGATCGACATCCTTAACCTAATGAGTACAGTCATGATGTTCTCCAGCTCTCGGTCGCAGCCGGACACAAAGTCTGACCACTGCCGTCGGGCGTACTTGAGGAAGCGCAGCAGGTAGAGCAGAAAGCAGGTCTCGTTTGAGACAAGCAGGTCGAGCAGCACCTCGTGGTCATGGGACACTGTCCGCAGAAACTGGGCAAAGGTTTGTGTCGGCGACAGGGCGGCCCTCAGGGCGTTGGACACCAGCGTGGTGGTCAGGGCTGCGGAAAGACCGACCTCCACGTCCAGGCAGCACACCATGCCCTCGACCAGGGCGTCGTCCTGGTCAGAGAAAAGCTGAACCACCCACTGTGCCAGCGGCGTCTCCGGATGAAACGGCATCAGCTGTTTGACGCACGCGTCCAGTCTTCGCAGAACCTCAGCAATGCTCCGAGCGATCACGGCCATGTCATCAGCAGCCGCCGCAGCTTCCTCTTCCGAAGAGCCACCGTTGCCTCCGCCACCAGAACTTGATGACGCGTCGCTGCTACTCGAGTCTGACCGAGTCTCCTAAAAATCAAACATTTTCAATAAATTAATAATGTGGATAATAAGAAATTTGTAGAATGTAATTAAAATTAAAAAATTTAAGGGAAAATTATATGTGAGATTGAGTTGAAGTGGAAAGTGATCCTTAAATTAATTTTCCTTTTTTATTTGGATTTTGATATAATAGTTAAGAAGAGTGTGGGATAATGTTTTATGTTTGTGTTGTTCAAAATAAAAGCAGTTTCAGGGCTTCATTTTTTACATGGATTCACTTAAACTATGAGGTAAATACTACAAAAATATTTGGCTTTTCACTAAGAATTTTAATTTTTCAATGACAAAAAGAATCTGAAATTTAAGAAAAATATTAAAACAACCAAACTAATTCAAAACATATCTCACCTTGACAGTGACAGCAACGCTCTTGAGCACCAACAGGCACATTTTTTGCAGCAGAGGTCGGTCGCCCTCTTCTGAGCTGTGGCGGCCACCAAAGCCACCACCTGCACCTCTGCGGAAGGGCAAAGCGTCTAGCAGGTGCCAGTCCTTGACGCTGCGCACAACAAGGTGCGCCAACGCGCACGGCTCTTCGGCGATTGTGTCCTGCAGGGCGAGGGTGCTGCCGTAGCACATGACCTCGTTGAAAAGTCCAAGGAGGCGCTTCCACAGCAGCGGAGGTAGATTTGGCCCAAGCAGGACGACAAAGCCGTCGAGGTGTGAGTAGAACGGCTTCGTGTCCACCACAGAGAGGTTCGCCTTCACCGAGATGATGGCCTCCCAAAGTGCGACAAACGTCGTGATGGCAGCCTCGTTTGAGCTCACGTAGCTCGCCATCAGGCTGTCATAGTGGTTCACCAGTAATGTCCATCGGGATTCTAGCGCGTGGATGCACGCGCACTTGGCCGCTTGAGAGTCAGCACCCTCGGGGTCGATCGCCTGAAAATTGACCAAATAATGCCATTCATTAATAACTTCAAGAGTGTAAGAAGCAATTATTTTAGCAATGTAGAAAGAAGATCTTGTTTAAATATACAAAATATGAAAATATTTAGGAAAATTTAAATTTCCCTAATAGTAAATTGCATATAAAAGTCTGTACCAGAAGAATTCAGGGTGGTTTGATATCCCAAAATACATAAACACAACAAAATATTATAGTCAAAAGTACGGGTTTGTTTCAGTAAAAATACAGTATTAATATCAACATCATCATTAAATTTAAATTGAAAGAATATTTGAATTTTAGACTAGATTAATTAAAATAAATAAAGTGTTTCCATATTAATTCAATATATTTGAAAATAAGCATCAGAATGCTTTTAAAGTAAATCAAAATTTTATGATTTTTATATCAGGAAAACAACAATATATTATTTTTGTATATTTGTGTATATTTTGATAAAAAAGTTTCTTTGAAACCCCATTAGTTCGAACGTTATTCAAATGAGTGAAGAGATCCATGATCATCTCCTTGAGTGTCGATTTCTTCAAACATTGTTTAAAATGACATCCTTCTCTTTCCATGAATAAAATGTATTGTAATTCAAATTTAAATTTAATTATAAGGTTTTATTGTTTGAATTTTGATTGTATCCAAGAATATTAAGCTTATTTGTTGTTTTCATTAATTTAATTAATTTAAACATATATCTCATAAATTGAAGTGACCAATTTTTAAGAACAGAGATTAAAAATAACCCAAAATTAAGGTATAAGGTTCTGTTATTCATTTGATTTGACCTTGTACTATTTAATGATAGATTAATGCGATAATTTTTATAATTAGGTGGCGAATATTCCAAATTTGGTCATACCTGATTACAGGCACCAACTGGGGATGCAAATGCACTTGAGGACGAGGACGTCGAGGCCCCTGAAGCATCCTCGGAAGGATGGCAGTCGACGTCCCGCCACTCGAGCACTCTCCTGAAGACGTCAAGGGCAAAGGTGGCCGTGAGCGGCGAGGGTATAAGGGCGGCGTCTGCTAGGGTTTCGAGCCACGCAGGGTCTATTCGCTGCCTGGAGACGACCAGGAGCGCCGGCAGGGCCCGCCCGCTGGCGAACCGGACGTACGGGTCGCAACCGGCGCACAACTCGTCGCCGATCAGCAGCTCGATCAGTCTGTAATTGCAGGCGACGACGGCGTCGCACATGCTGGCCAGCCGACGGCACTGGCTGCCCTGCGAGGACAACTGCTTGTACGACGTTTCGCACAAGAGCTGCAGCGTGCTGACGAACAGCAACGCATGCTCCCGCGTCCATGAGGCGCACACACCCTGCGGCAGTGTCCGCCGCTCCAGCCAGTTGACCTCGTCCAGCCCCTCGGGCAGCGAGCACAAACACTGGTGCAGCAGCAGCTCTTGCAGGGCCACCAGCTCGCGGTCCTCGGTGGGCGAGGGGCCCTCGACCCCTCCTGGCTGCACTCGGGCGCGTTTCTTCACTGGTTCGCTCATCGTTGAGGCCTCAAGTGTTGGTGAGACGCTCTCGCATTTTGTGTCTCGACATTTTCCGGCCCTGCGGAGACCAATCTGAAAGAATCAACGTGTTCGTTAGTCTCGTCGTCAAGTGCTACTGTTTTGCTGCGCGGCTGACGCGCTACCCGCCGTCCTTCAAAAACCGTTTCGCAGTCCGAATTCAACGCCGAATCTCAATTTCGGCACTCTAATGTAGCGACATTGAGAAAGTAGGGTTGACTTTCGAACGTTTACGGTGTAAATTCGGTGAGAAAGGCACCTGTTGCTTGAGAAAATTCGGCGAAGCCCTAAATTGACAGCAACAGCATTGCGAGTTGGGCACCGCGATTTTGTTCCCGAGAATTTCCTGCGACGCCAACGGGCAACGCACTCACCTTAACAGATATTTCGTGATCTGCAATCCATAATTAATTTCGGTGGAGGCGAACAAATGCGGTCACGCGAGAAAAACAAATTTTATCTTCCATACAGCAAACACCTACATATTTACAGCCTCCATGATATGAACAATATGACGCGGTAGTCAAATCAACGGCCGTCAAGGAGCTCTGCTTTTTTCGTCTCTAAAAAATGCATCTTGCCAAAAAATACAAAATTGACGTTTTAAAAGTGCTCACAATTTGGTAATATATTGACTTTCATTGTTATTTGATTTTTATTTTGCTTTTATTTTTGTTCAGAAGTCGTTAATTTGACTAGAAAGTGTGAATGGTATCCGGGACACAAAAGACAGTAGGAAATCCACGTTGCCAGATTTATTCCCATTCTCAGGCAGCGGCAGCGCACTCTTCAAGAACGTATGTACGCACGCACCCGAGTACGTATGTACGTAATTTTATGCATATAATGATGTCATATCCGGGTTCCAAACATAACTAAAATACTGCGTTTGGGCCGACTAACCCCCGACCTTTGGGTTCAGGGTTGGCAATGCGCTGCTGAGGTGACCGCTCGCGCGTTGACCGCGCTATTCCATTTTTCTCTCTTGTTCGGCTCCTCGTCCCCCACCCCTTTCACGGACGGGCTTGTCGAGAATGAATGTCGGCTAGGTGTGGCAGCCATTTTTTTGGTGTGGGGTCACGTCCAAGTTGATCACTGCTGCAAGTAAATAACTGTCCTGTCATTAATCCCAGCGCCCAATGCGCCTTTCATGAGGGCGGCGTGAATCTCAGTGTCCGAAATTACCGGACACCGGCCTTCTCCCCGCACTGACGTCACCGCAATTCTCGTATGTAAATTACTTGTGGGCATCTTATTTAAATATCCGCAAGAGAAATAATTATACACGGACCGCAGCATTCTTGAGGCCCCCAGCCGAGAATTTTTCTCGCCGTCCGATTTCACGCTGAACAATTTGTAGATTTCACCCCCTCTCAAGTTCATTGGTTTCTTTTGTGTAAATAAATCAAATCTGATTAATTTTGCAGTCTTTCGTTCTCTGAAGAGAGGTTGACTGGGATGACAGTTCTGCTTCTGGGACAACAGGATTGTGCCAGGAAGTAAAAATGCGCTTCCCTCCTAGCTTAGGTAACTTGTGCATTCATTTTTGCAGCGTATGAAAAACTTATTGACACTTATCGTCTTGTTTCAGCAGTTTTATGATAGAGTAAGAGCACAATGGCCAGCCAAGAGCACCCAAGAACGGCAGAGACCCGCCTTCGGGAACTGGAGGCCGTTTTCTTGGGTGGCCCTATTCAGGCGAAAGGCAAATGCCTGTCGGTGGAATCTCTGCTGGACGTGTTGCTGGTGCTCTATGATGAATGCTGCAATTCGTCTTTGCGGAGGGAGAAGACCGTCTCCGAGTTCATCGAGTCAGGTACAAATCAAAATTAATCCTCATTTTCATTCTACTGTATAATTATTTTTAGCTCTAAACCTTTCCAAGTTAATTTCTTAGAATTTCTTTAAATTTAAAGATAAATTAATTTATGTAAATAATGTTGTTGTGTTCTGTGTGTGTTTTAATAACCTAAAATATATAAAATTTCAGTAAAAAAATGTGCGACATACGTCAAAGGCTCCAGACTGTGTCGCGACGACTTCGAGATTCTGAAGGTGATAGGACGAGGCGCTTTCGGAGAGGTGTGCGTAGTTAAAATGAAACACACAGACAAGGTTTACGCAATGAAGATTTTGAATAAGTGGGAAATGCTCAAGAGGGCAGAGACTGCGTGTTTTCTGGTGCGTAATATAAAAATATTAATGAATTTGTCACTTTCCCAAATTCTGCGTTTTAATAATTAAATTTTAAATTGCAGGAAGAGCGAGATGTGTTAGTTTACGGAGATAGGAGATGGATCACAAATCTTCACTATGCGTTTCAAGATGATAACAACTTGGTATATAATCAGTGTCAGTGATTAATAAGGAGGAAATAAGCTATTTTTTATTTTAACAGTACCTTGTAATGGACTATTATTGTGGAGGTGACTTATTGACGTTGTTGAGCAAGTTTGAGGACCGTCTTCCAGAGGACATGGCCCGTTTTTACATAGCTGAGATGGTGCTGGCCATCAACTCGATCCATGCCTTACGCTACGTACATCGAGACATCAAACCTGACAATGTGCTGTTGGATGCAAATGGTCACATTCGTCTTGCCGACTTCGGATCCTGCCTCAAACTGTTTGAGGATGGCACAGTTCAGAGCAACGTTGCTGTTGGAACGCCGGACTATATTTCACCTGAAATCCTTAGAGCAAGTGCCAAATAATTTTGTACTTCAAAATGATAATTTTTATTTTAGGCTATGGAAGATGGTCAGGGACGGTATGGCCCTGAGTGCGATTGGTGGTCTTTAGGTGTTTGCATGTTCGAAATGATCTATGGTGAGACTCCCTTCTACGCCGAGTCATTAGTGGAGACGTATGGGAAAATTATGAACCATAAAGTAAGCACCTTAATTTGGGGATTTTGGAGATAATTTTATAATAATTTTCCTTGCAGAACTGTTTTGATTTCCCTACTGATTCTGGCTGTGAAATCTCCGACAATGCAAAAGACCTTATGCGTAGGCTCATATGTAGTTCCGACATCAGATTAGGTCAGAAAGGCATAAGTGATTTCCAAGTAAGTTTTATTTCTAGATTGGTTTTGAAAGCAAAATCCAATTAAATTTTTAAACAGAGCCATCCCTGGTTTGCCAACATTGACTGGGAAGGTCTGCGAGAGAGCAGTGCACCATACATACCTGAAGTCTCTAGTCCAACAGACACCTCAAACTTTGATGTAGATGACACAGACATTAGGATATCAGATGCTGTGCCGCCGCAAGCCAACTCTGCGTTCAGTGGTCTCCACCTGCCCTTTGTTGGCTTCACTTTTACACAGGGCAGTCCGTACTCCGATCTGAACTCCGGAATCTCTAATGGCGTGCAAACTGTGGTTCCGGCTGATAGTTTGCTGACAGCCAAGATTTCTCAGTTGGAAGAGGAGAATTCTCGATTGGTGAAACGGTTGCAGATGACACCAGGGTCAGCAGCAGATGAAGTCAAATTGTCTGCTGACGAATTTCGGATGCTGCAAGATAAAGTGATGCTGCTCACTGAGAGAAACACAGGTTTGTACAAATAATTGTGTTGATTTAACTGTTTTATTTAATTTTCTTTATAGAACTGGAGACTTTGGTTCGTAGTCAGGGCAATTCTAATGACACAGAAGAGCTAGATAAATTAATAAGTATGCTTAGGAAGGAGAACGAAAATGTGCAAAAGGTATGTTTGATAAAAATTGAACTGGTTTTTGGTTATTTGTGTGATAAAAATTTTGCAGGAAAAGCAGGATATACTAGAGAAGATAAAGCTACAAGAAAAAGAGCTGAAAGATGCTCTCAGCCAAAGAAAATTGGCAATGACTGAATACACAGAAGTTACGGATAGGTAATTTAATTAATTGACCAATTGTTGTTTCTGACATTTCTGACACTTTGATTTATTTCCGCAGGCTTTCAGAGCTGCGTCAACAAAAGCAGAAGCTGTCGAGACAAGTTAGGGACAAAGAAGAGGAATTGGAAGTCATGATGCAGAAAGTAGACTCGCTTCGACAAGATATTCGTCGAGCAGAGAAGTTGCGGAGGGAGCTTGAGGCCCGAATTGAGGAGGCGCAAGCCGAAGCTGGTAAGGAGAGGAAACTCCGAGAGAGGACTGAAGAGTATTGCAAACAAATGGAGGAAGAAATGGAAAAGCTGCGCCAAAGATCTGTCATCAGCGGTGACCCCAACGCTCCTGGCCTCAACAAAACCACTCAGGAACTTGTCAGGTATAAAGTGAATGTAAATTTTTAATATTAAATGGACTAATTGTCTGGAAATTTAGGATGAAAACTGAATTTGAAAGACTGGAGGTTCAGTACAACGAGGAGCTGGCCGCTCAGCAAAGCAGATACAACATTGACTGCTGCAATTTGCGAGAACAGCTGGCAGAAGTTGAGTCTCAAAGGGATCTGTTTGAGCGAGAAATGCAGATTCTGAAGGACAAGTTTGACAAGTCCCGGCTTGAGAGCTTGACTGACAGTGAAGAGACAATATCTGAGATCAAGCGAATGCATGAAAGGGACAAATTAATCCTTATCGAGGACAACAAGAAGCTCATTCAAGATAACAACACGGTAGATTTGTTAAAATTTTATTAGACCTGTGCTTACTTGTTTGATTTGTGCATTTTAGTTAAGCGATTCGATAAATAGGATGCAAAGAGACTATGAAGATCTGCGCAACAAAAAGGAGACTATTGCTCAATGGGAGGCGCAAATTAGTGAGATCATTCAGTGGGTCAGTGATGAGAAGGACGCCAGGAGCTACTTGCAAGCCCTGGCATCCAAAATGACCGAAGAATTAGAGTTCCTCAAACACTCTGGTGGTGCTGCACCTAATTCAGTAAGATATCATATATCTTCCTGTGTTCCCTAACTTATCAATGTTGTCAATAGGACAAAAACTGGCGCAACAGGCGTTCTCAAAAGTTGGATAAGATGGAACTTTTGAATCTCCAGAGCAGTTTGCAGTCTGAAATTCAAGCAAAGCAGGCAATAAGTGAGGAGCTTAGCAAGACTAGATCTGATCTCATTGCAGCACAAAAGTAGGTTGACGCATTTGAATTTTTTCTGTGTAATCAAAAATACCTTAAATAAAGGGAGCTGAGAGAGACCTTCCTGAGGCTTGAAACCTTTGCCACGGAAGTGAAGCGCAAGGACAACCAAATGAAAGAGTTGCAGCATCGACTCGAGTCTGGTGAAGGATGTAAGTACTCTGATCCTACCGACTTTGAGACCGAGTTTTTACGAGAAAGTCAATTGGCCACAAATTGTATTTTTAATTTATTTTTCAACTCTGGTCCTTTGGTCCTTAATAGCACTTAAGTTCTTCTCTCCTAACACTGGGCAGTTTTTTCATGAAAGTACGAATTGCTCAATGTCCTTAGACAAAATGCCCATATTTATTGGTGTAACAAGCTGCCTTTGGGGGTTACTGCTGCTCCTTATGAAAATTTATTTCTGACACCTAAGCTGCTAATTGGAGCCGTAAACAAGGAAGAACCCACACTTCCTCTGGTAAAGTACAGAAAACGACTTGCCTGAGAGTATTGACTTTGGTTTGAAATTTTGCTACTAGTGGCCAATGCTAATTTTAGATGTCGCCTCATCTTGTTGTCATTAACATGTGTTTTCGATCTCATCTAATATCGTTGAGATTAAAAAAAGCCACGGCAGACCCCTTGCCCCGTGATTTATCACTAGTATTTGTTCGTTTCAAATTGTCTGTTGCTCTTTCCCAGCATCTTGTTCAGTCCTGTTTTATAAATGTGAATTTGGCATTCGACGTCTCTCTGTGAAACGTAGGACTAATTCACTCCATTTGTTCCTCTATTCTACTCAATTTTGAGTGATTTCATTTCCTTTTTCTGAAATTTATTTTTGGTCTTTTTGGGTCTTAGTGTCTCACGGAGTTCGCAACTATATGTTGTCCTTATTGGAAGGTGAGATTTTATTTTGGACCAAATTTTTTCTTTTGTAATTTGTTGCAACCCCTTTTCACGTCTCTCTGGCTATACTTATAATGCTATTCCAAAATGCCTTATACTGTTCTCTCATTTCATTTTCATGGACTCGGCTCTCATTACGGTTTTGTTGATACCCAATTTGCTCCTCCCTTCAGGTTCTGGGTGGCAAAGATCACCGTTTGAAATATGCCTGCACTTTTTTATTTTTAATTTTGCTTCTTGATTTTTCAGTTTGATATTAACCTTTCGATTTATGTGACTTCCTGGTGTAAACTTTGTTCAAAAACTCGGAGCGAATTGCCGATTTTTGCTTTCAGTTTTTTATTTGCTGGTTCCAAACTTGTAAAAATTTCCACGAATTTTTCATTTTACAATTTACCTCAATAGATGTTTCCTTCAACACTCACTATCGATCGATTTGTAACGAGATTGTCTCTTTTGCAGTTTTGGACCGGCCACCTTCGCAAATTTCATACCTTGATCATTTCCTGAAAGAATCGCCCATTCGACATGGTGGCTCCGTTGAAAGTGAAGAAGGAGACATCGAGGACAACAGAGCGCCTTCTATCACCAGCAGCAAATCAAACTTGTCAGACCTAAGCTCAGTAAGTGACCTGCGCCCAAAATGTTTTCCGCTTTGCCTCTTAACATCCTCTAAGGTTGCAAAACATCCATTTTAATTGTAAATATTTCCTTCTTCCTCCTCGAGAATATTATATAGGTAAAAATTCCTATTTGAACCAAAGAAAAAAAAATAGCAAATATGGGAAGAATTTCATAGTTTTGCAACCTTGATCGTCCCGCGCCTAACTAACCACCCCGTCTTTGCCACAGCACCGAGTCAGGCGTGGACAAGAGCTGGGCTCACCAAGTGACTCCAAGATGTTGCCGCAATTGGCGATGGGCAGCATGTCATCGATGCGCTCAGTTGGTCCTGCGATCGGCGTTGATTCGCACTTCAAGCCTAAGTCTCATCAGTTCTTGGTGCGGACCTTTTCCTCTCCTACCAAATGCAGCCACTGCACCTCACTAATGGTTGGATTAACCAGACAAGGAGTTGTTTGTGAAGTGTGTGGTTTTGCTTGCCATATTGGTTGTTGTGAGAAAGTTCCTGCCATTTGTCCTGTACCTGCGGATCAGAGTGAGTCAAGCGTTGTTTTAAATTGTTGGCGTTTTTACTCATTTTGCTGGTGCCCAATTGTGCAGCTAAGAGACCTCTGGGAATAGATCCGACCAGAGGGATCGGCACCGCATACGAAGGATACGTCAAAGTTCCCAAGCCCGGCGGAGTCAAGAAGGGTTGGATCCGGCAGTTTGTGGTCGTCTGCGATTTCAAACTGTTTCTCTACGATATATCACCTGATCGGAATGCTCTGCCCAGTGTCCATGTATCTCTGCTTCTGGATATGAGAGACGAAGATTTTGCAGTTAGTTCAGTGAGGGATTCCGATGTCATACACGCCACCAAGAAAGACATACCCTGCATTTTTAGGGTGAGTTTTTATTTTGAAATATTAATTATTTTTACCATGAAAGGAGCTTAATATGAAAATGTACACTTGTCTTTTAAGTAACTTTTAAAAAGCACAAGTGGGAAGAGCATTATCAAAAAAAGTAAGAGATGGCGCCTAGTTTTGGTCAAAATCTGTTATTGAACTATTAAAATCACATGCAAAATTGAATATGGAAATATGCAATTTGAAAAACCTGGTTCCCTTAGAAATTCAAACTTACCCAAAAATCATTGATGTTATTGCATTAGGCTATATTTCTATATTCTGTTGAAATTTTTCAAATTTAAGCACTCTTCTTTTAACAATAAGATCATTTTTAATTTGCTGATTTTTTTTAGCATGGTGGCATGAAATTAAAATTATCAATATTTAAATTAAGATTTAGCTTTCCCTGTTATATGCCATAATTTGCAAATATCTGTGTATCAGATTACTACATCCCTTATGGAATCGAGTGGAATGAAAAATCAAACATTGATGCTTGCCGATACCGAAAGTGAAAAAACCAAGTGGGTTGTTGCTCTCTGCGAACTGCACCGTATTCTCAAACGAAACAATCTTCCCAATAGAACTGTAAGTTGGTATATTTGAGCATCATTCAGTTTCCTGTAAAGAATCTCTTTCGAAAGGTTTTCCGTGCTAAAGATCTCTTGGATAATAACTTAGCTTTTATCAAAAACGCAATGTCTGGTGCAATCATCGACCCTGATCGACTAGTCTTGGGCACAGAAGAGGGACTGTTTTGCCTCGATTTGGACCGAAGCGGTATTTTATTCGTTTTTATGTTAATAAAGGAAGCTAATGTTCATTTTAATTTTAGAAATTGCAAGAGTTGGAGATGGAAAAAAGATTTTCCAGCTGGAGTACATTATTGAAGAGCAGCTGCTGGTCGTTCTGGCTGGCAAGCAGAGATATGTGAGACTTGTACCAGTTCGAGCTCTTGATGGCTCGGACGTGGAGTGGATCAAAGTAGGGGAGACCAAAGGCTGCATCTCCTTCACTACAGGGCCTATGAAAAGAATACCCGGAGTGGCTAACACCTATTGCCTGTGTGTTGCTATCAAGAAGCAGGTAATGAATTTTAAGCTCTTTATAATTTATTGTATTGGACCACTCTTGAAAAATGCCAATGCTTATCAATTTGATTTTCTTTCAGAACACATCCCAAGTCATAATTTACGAGATCACGAGAACCAAAGTCAGGCACAAGAGACTTCGAGAAGTTTTGCTTCCAACGCAGGCACAAACGCTCAACATATTTAGTGATGGCCGCCTTTGTGTTGGATACCAGTCAGGCTTCACAATTTACAGCATCATGGGAGACCAGCACCCTATGTGTATGAACTTTCAATAAGTTATATTTGTGACGAATCTCCAATTCCTTTCTTTTGCAGCGCTTGTGCACCCTGACAACCAGATGTTGAGTTTCTTAGCCTACAGCGCAGTAGACGCCATGCTAGCCATTGAACTAAATAGCAAGGAGTTTTTACTCGTTTTCCAAACTCTAGCCGTTTATGTCGACGCTCAGGGACGAAAGTCGAGGGAACGGGAAATCATGTACCCTGCCATCCCCCTTGCAGTTAGTAAGTATTTTTGGCTTTTAATTCACAGAAAATTGTATTGTTTTGTGTTCTTTAAGGCTGCCAAGGTGGACACTTGTTAGTATACAGTGAGACCCATGTAGACGTCTTCAATGTGGCCACCGGTGACTGGATCCAGACAATTAATGTAAAAAAGTGCTTCCCACTGGACCATTATGGCTCCCTCGCCATGTGTACAGTCAATGATATGCCTCATGTCATTTACATCTGCAATATCCATCAACGTGAGTTTTATCTTTTAAATCATCTCCAAATCCCATAACCAATTATTATTTTGCAGCTGGAGAACTTGTGAACACTACACAGTCTGACCTCACAGGCAGGAAAATGCCCCGACCTAAGAGACGATTTTCTCTACGAGAGGCCAATAAGTCTGCCAGAACGTAAGCCCAATTTTATTTAATTTATTTTATCCTTAAAATTTTTAATTTCTTGATGAGTTATGTGAAGTGATATGTTAATTGATTAATTAATTATCCAATTTCTTTGCAGGACTGACAGGAGGTCAAAACTCATATCTGCACCCACAAACTTCAACCACATCAGCCACATGGGTCCTGGAGACGGAATCCAAAACCAGCGACTGCTCGACTTGCCGACAACTCTGGAAACTGCCGATCACCAAACGCTTGCCTCTCCACAACCTCTTGCCACTCCTCCTAGGGTAAATTCAAGGAATTCACTATTTTATTGTGAACTAAAACTTTTGCTCAGGGCTTCCATTCTTTGGGTTCATCCACAAAGTCACTCGCAGCTTCTCATCATTCCGACTCCATCAAGGGACATGCGCCAAGACTTCCACCTCAGCCACCTCCATCTCACAATGGTTTGTGTTTGTCACATTTTGAGTATTATCTTTGAACTTGTGATGTTTGTTTCAAAAGGCTCATCTCGCCGATCACTGGGTCCTATGCGGCCAACAGTCACTCCACCCTCATTGCCTCGGACGCCAGACATTGACTCAGAAGCTGCCAGCTCTCACCTCTCTGCCGGCAGTGTGGGCTCTTTGCATGACACTGGCAGAGTAAGTACTTAACAATTTTGCTAATTTTAATTGGCCTGTCCTTTTTTGTTAATAATTTCCTTATAAATTGTATGAGACTTAACTATCTTCTTTGTTGTTCAATTTGCTAATAATTTTTTCTGAATGTTTTAGGAACTAGGTCTGAGCAGTAGTCCTAGGCATTCAATTGCTTCCAACAACAGCAGCAATCCAAGTACTCCACCCAGTCCAGCGCACGAGCAGGACTCCAGTTACGACAGTTAAAAAGCTTAGTCAATATTCCGAACGCGGAACAAAGAAAGTATCGTCAACAAGCGTGCTCCTCTCATACCTCCCACGTTGCATAATGCCATCTTCCACCCGATTCCCTAGCGATGTAGCGAATTTTTGATTACTAACGCGTGGTAGAAGTAAAAACAGAAGAAGTCGCCTTAAATTTTTTTGCACCTACAAGAGCAGATTTTAAATTTGTTTTGTTTACGCTCGTCTGCGTCTTTAAAATTCTCTAGCCCTTCTAATTTACATAACGGGGATTTTACTACTAGTCAACTAAAAAGAAAACTGTCACATGTACATTATTATTATTATTTTAACAAAATATTATCTGTGCTTTATTTATACTGTACATAAAAAATTGTTTTCTCAAAAGGAAAAAGTAATTACTCAAGTCTGAAAAATTCAATTTGAAAAAAGGCAGTACACTTTTAAAAGAGATGGTACAAATACGACGAAAACTCCAATTGGACCCCAGTGCTTTGCTTAGTCACGAAAATTCTGGTGGTTCCCTTTGATCGAGCAGCGGCCTCTGAACTTTTAATTTGAAATTCCAAATTTCAGGGCGTTCGAAATGTCCCTAAATTTCTTGAATCGTTTTACTCAAATTTTAAAATTTACTACCACCGCTGCCAAGAACAACTGGGAACCACTTAAAACTTAAAAAGTTGTAAGTACCATTCCTGAGCAAGTTTTATCGCTCATCGACGTATTATACGAGACACTACTTTTTATTCATTGACGAGAACTTCTGCAATGTAATATGATAAACAATTACCGAATTCGCCCCCAGCGTATCATAAAATAAAATGCAATTGTGTCGGTGCTATAGTGTATCCGTTACTTTTGGTCGCGAGCTTAGATTGTGTGTGCGGGCCGAGTGAACAAAAGTACGACTCGCGCCCTAGCGAGACATTATTTTTGTTCATTCGTTCTTTCTGCACATGCATATAACACACCTACGTAGTTTTTAATTAAAAAAGAACGACTCACCAACGCAGGTCATGGACGATTCATTTGGGAATACAGTGCATTTTCACCCAACCCTTTGCTTTATACACACACACTCACTGACACACGCCTCACACATATACACAAACACTCATCGCATTAATATTACGTATTACTTAATTTATTGTAACTTTGTTTTGAATTACTTGTTTTTTTTTTATTGTATCTTGTTATATTTCTCTCCTCTTTAGATTTGCATTCAGTTTTTTCGGAAGCGATTTTTTCAACTTCCCATTTAATTGAATAAAAAAAAAATGCAATTCTGAATGATGAGAGTGCCGCGTCTGTACATTATTAATAAAGTCTGTCATAAGTTATTTAATTCAAACAAAAGCTCGATTAAACAAATCATAATTACCTTGTCTTTGAAATCAACCACCAAAGTATAAAATAAATTATTGTAATCATATTAAAAAAAATCTGCTGCCTCATTTAACCCAAAATAGGAACCAGCCCATCAGTCTGCAATTTTTTTTTGCATACATACAAAAAAGTGAAAAATTATATATATCGGAAAAAGTCACCTTGCTGTTTGTAATATTTGACTTTGAGGTAATTTAATGTGTTGAATATTGCAAAAGTGGAAAATTAATTTGATATAATTAAGATAATTAACCTCGATTAACCTCATATTAATCAAACTTAAAATAGTATTAAAAAATTTCCTCGTGAGAACCGATAGCTTATTGTTAGCTCTACCAGCAGTCCTACCACAAGCGACAAAATACAAGTGTAGAATAGGTTAATCAAGTTAATTAAATTATGGAGATAATATGAATAACTCAAATAACCAGCAACAGTAGTTAATTCCAATTAATTTATAATTTACTATTAGGTTTGAAAAAAATCAGTGATCTTTATTATTTTTTTGACTTCTTCCTCCTGACCTTATAATTTTAAAAATAAAATTATTTTACATAAATATTTCAAAAAATAAATAATACATCTGCCGAAGTATTTTTTTTATGGATCCTCGATTTCCCGCAATTTTGAACAAAACAATAATTGAGAAGCTAACCGCGCACTGCGGCCACTGCGCAGACGCACAATCTAGTAATCCCCATTCCTAATTTCTTTCCAAGTCCATGCTTTTGTCGTAGCTTTTCAAAATTTTGAAAAACTTTGAAAATATATGCTTCTGCCTATTAAATTACTGTGATCTATCCGTTTGGAATGAGAGAACCGTGGTTTCCATGTTCTGATAACTCAGTTTAGCCACAGGCAAGTGCAATTTCCTTGACATTTTCGTCTTCAGGGTGTCATCAAGGTCGCAACAAATTCAAATTCTCACGAAATTTGTTAGATTTTGCTGTCAGCAATTCTCAAACGGCTTATCATCTCGCCGGCCGAACTTTTTTCAAACTCCAGAAGAATGATTTTGCCCGCTGATTGTCCTAGATCCGTGATTAATTGCTGCAAATCTTTGTTTTAGGACTTGTAAATATGTGCACGTAGGCCTGGCGAAGCTGGTTGCATAATTTTTTAATCTTCTCAAAGGCTGAGAACCTGAACATAAAACAATAATAATGGTAGGTACAACTTTAAATATAATTTAAATTAAATTTCTTAAAATTTTTTATTTTACAGCTACGAAGAAAATTATCGGGGCAGCCTTCATGGCTAGCCATTCAAAGATGTTGTCAACCTTTGCCCTCTACGTATCCCTCTACCTTTGTTTTATCAAAGTCTTTCCATAGATCAGTAAGTTACAAAGTTCTTGGCTTTTATTTCAATTAATTTTATAGAGAAATTTGTGATTTATTAAATTATTTTATTGTAAAAATACAAATAAATTCATTTCTTTACAGCAAATATTGGAAAGCAATCCTCAAAGACGGCCAAGTTTCTTCTCGCAAGTCATAGATAACATAAAGCAAGAAATGGAGAAGAATAAAGAGATGAAAGAGAACATCAAGAAGTTCAGGCAAGAAGCGGAGAAGTTGGAACACTCGGACGCTCTGCAAAAGGCCAGGCAGAAGTTCCAGACAGTTGAATCTGAGGCCAATAAAGGCTCCGAAGTGCTCAAGGAAAGGTTTGGAAGTTTCAAGGACAAATTTGAAGATGTTCTGGAAGAAGCTGGAAAGACGGACATAGCTAAAAAAGCTGGTAAATTAACTTAAACATTTTTTAACAAACAAAACTAAAAATTTATTTTCCCAGGTCAATTTACTGAAGGAATTGGTAAAACAGCCAAAGATGCCGCAGAGAGCATCTCTGAAACGGGTCACAAGATTGGACAGACTCAAGCCTTCCAGGCCATTTCTCAAACTGCCTCAGTTGTGAAAAAGGAACTTGATAAGAGTGGCATGCAGGTTCACATGTACTGCCGTCCAGTCAAACTTCGCAAACGGAAAGAAGTTCCAGACGATGCGGAGGAAAAAATTGTTGAGCCGAATCTTGACGCTACCGGAATGGAACTGCACAAGGACTCAAAGTAGACAAATCAAAATTTATTTTGGAATCTTATAAAAAAGAAATGCTTTTTTGAAAATTTCAGATTCTTCCAGAACTGGCAGAATTTCAAAGAGAACAATCCCTACGTCAACAAAGTGGTCGACTGGAAAATGAAGTACGACGAGAGCGAAAATCCTGTGATTCGCGCCTCGAGACTTCTCACTGATAAAGTGAGCGACATCATGGGCGGTCTTTTCCAGAAAACGGAACTGTCAGAGACATTGACGGAAATCTGCAAGGCTGACCCCAACTTTGACAAAAACAAGTTCCTCCTGCAGTGCGAGACGGACATCATCCCCAACATTCTGGAAGCTATGGTCCAGGGTGACCTGGAAATTTTGAAAGACTGGTGTTACGAGGCTCCCTACAACATTCTTGCTACGCCCATCAAGCAGGCCAAAGCCTTGGGAATGAGATTTGATTCTAAGGTTTGTTTGTTAAAAGTTTATTCAAGAAACAATGAAAGGCAAATCAAGCATTTTTTTTTATTCAAACATGACTGCAAATATTCGGAGAATTAAATAAGTTCTCTCATCCAGTTAATCAATTTTAATTTTTAATGATAAAAAATTGATGAATATCAAATTGACGTTCATAAAATTTTTATTAACAAAATGAAATTTCAGATTATCGATATTGACAATATCGACCTGGCCTTAGGCAAGATGATGGACCAGGGGCCAGTGCTGATCATCACCTTCACGGCGCAACAAATCATGTGTTTGAGAGACTCCGCGGGGAAAGTCGTAGAAGGTGACGCTGACAAAATCATGCGGGTGAATTATGTGTGGGTTTTATGTCGAGACCAAACCGAGTTAGACCCCAGGGCAGCGTGGAAGCTGCTGGAGCTTGCAGCCACTAATATGCAGGAGCAGTTCGTCTGAGAAACTCAAAAGTTGTCTCTGCCTTGCGATTCAATAAGCAGCCATAAATTTGAATTACCTCTATGCGTTGAATCTGCCGCGCTTCTAGACCGAGCACATATTTCCTTCCGTTCTGTTGCTCCGCGTCTAGAGACGATTGTTTGAAGTTGATAAACACTGTGATTAGTCAGAGCGATTGCTGCAGAGGGAAATATTATGAGAAAGAAAAAAATGTTCAAAGTTGAAAATAAAACAAAATAATATTGCCTCTCCGGAAAGGAAAATCAAGAGTTTTAGATGAATCAAAACTTACAAGAGGTAACTGATTCTTTTTGATTATATCTAATTTTTAAAATTATTCTAAATCATAATTTTCATTACTCAACTTATGGAAATTTTAAAATTACGCCAAGAAAGTAAAAGTCTGAAGCTCTTTTTGTGGTTGAAAATTTTTCATTTCAATTAAAATTTAAATTAAGAGCAAAGAAATTTTTTCAGCGCTCTGCAAGAAAATATAAAATCGTGTATATGGCATAGCAGAATTTCTTGTGTGCAAATTATTGAGGGAGGCGTGGCCCACTCACCGTACATAACGTACCTCTCCACCCTCGCCCCTCTCCTTCGGTGCCTGTCAACTGGATCACAAATGCAAAGTTTGCATGGCGAACGCGATTTGACCTGAGGTGCCGTGGAACGCTGCTGCGTTATTGATGAGTTCAGAGGCCACGTAAAGTTCCAGTATCCTGCAGATCAAGAGGAGTTGCACCCCTGCCCAAGAGAAATGGCAGGCGCTTCGTTTTACCCCGGCTCTTGGGAGGTTCGTTTCACGCCAAAATTGTGTTTTTTTTTTTTGGTAACCTATAGTAGTGATCGTACGTGCGTAGTGTACGTGCATCATTTTATTTTTATGTGAATTTTTTATTTTTCCAGATTTGACCTAATTTTGTCTCCTGCTTGAAATGATTTATTATTGCAGATCGTAAGGTCCGATTTACATGGCAGTTCCCTCGGGAAAACCGGAATTGAGGGGTATGTAAATATTTGTAGAGAAATTATAATCTTATATATTAAATTTGTTTTTGACAGAAGAGATTATAACTGCATAATCTTTTATTCTTTCAGGACTAAATTCCACTTTGAGGACACTGGGGATGTTAGATGGGACGTGCCGGAGGGCGTCGAGCAGTTGCCGCTCTTCAACTGTGACACTTATGAAGTCTTTTCGGTGTCCATCCATGGCATTGTCATTCGCTTTGGTACTTTTGCCGGGCATGTTTTTGAATTTAGAGTGATGGATCAGGTAGAGTTTTGTTGCTTTTTAATTAATATTTTATTAAACTTGTTATACTTTTAAATCTTGTAGGTGGCAGTGCCTGATTCTCAGAGTTTTCTGAACCTAATCTGCGAAGACTGGTGCACTTTGTATTGCCAGAGACTGACCGTCAGCCAGCCCAAGGCTCCCACTGATTTTCCCTTCTCTCTCCTATCTGCTTTGAATGAGGGTTTCTTCTCAGACGTTACTATTGAGGCTGAAAATCACAAAACAGTACTGTTTTTTTTTTTTTTAATATTTCTATTTATTCTAAATTATTCATCATTTCATTCCATTTACAGTTCCAGGCGCACAGCTGCATATTAATGATTGGATCGCCGGAGCTCGAGTGGCAATCTTGGCTCGAAAAAAGGGAACAGGCGACCAATGCGTCTGACGCAACAGCCCCTGCACCACCACTGTCGGGTCTGCCTGAAGACGTTCTTGCCACGGTCCTGCACTACATCTACAGTTTAAGTTTGCCGCTTGATCTTTCGGAGGAAACAGCCCTCCGATGCATAGAATCCGTCGGCACCCTGCCTGGGTTCCACCCGCTGGCCTCTAAGTGTCAAGCATATCTGAATAACATGACCCTCAGAAATAGTGAGACAAGTTAAAGTAACATTGAAAAATTAAATTTAATCGTTTTTTTTTCTTTTTTTTTAGAAATAATGGCCTTGATAGGAGAAATGCACTCTAGTCTTGAAACAGTGATAAATTACTTCAGTTCCAAAGCATCCCCTGGAAACTACGGTGCGGCAGAAAACTTAGGAAGCAATCCCGCTAGACTTTGTAACACCCTCAAACAATCTACTCGCGAATTTTTTGTTGGTAAGCAAAATTTAAAATAACCATTCGTACAGAAGGATTAATTTAATTTATTTTTAGTGTTAATCAAGCTAGTGATGTTTTGTGAACTTTTCAACAAGGAGAAGGCGGATCTTTCGACTGACGACCAGCACGAAATCATTAGCTTTGCTAAATCGTATCTGCCAATATTTTTGAGCCAACTGAGCCAAATTTTGCAAGGACTGAAAGCAGTCTTCAATGCCATGTCAGCCAGTCAACGGAATGAGCTGGCCATGTACTTAGTTCTGGAGGTTGGTTCTCAAATTAAAATCCAAATTAGACTTCGAATATTTTTTTTCTTTCGCAGATAGATAACCATTTTGAAGTGATTTTGACTGTCGCAGAGGAGATTAAAAGTGCAATTGAACAGATCATCATAACCCTGATGTCACCCACTGAGAACAATCAGAAAAACAATCTCGAAGGAGTAGAGTCGATTGGTGGAGTTTTGCAAAGGACTCTGAAAAATCGGGAGCTCTCTAGGATCCGAAGCGTACACCAAGAATTAAATTGCAGCCTTATCCATTTTGACCAGAAAAAGTGGGTTGAAGTTACTATGAAAAATTTAAATATATTAAGTAATTTCAACATCAGGGAAAGATTTTTGAGCATGACTACAGCAAACAAAGTGAGGTCTGTGTCGAGGAATGTGGAGCAGCTTACTGAAGAGCTGCCAATTTTTTTGCTGCGGCTGGAGGAGGTGATGGCAGCATTGGAGGAGAAATTTGAGTGGAGGGACTTTAAATTTTGCTTTAGAGATGGTGCCTCAAAAGTGGTAAGAGTTTAAAAAAATGTAAAACAATTAAATATACACTTAATTTATTTTCAGTCTGGAGTTTTGCATAAATTATTGACCCACCGAGCTGCTGTTTACAAAACTATGGAGCACTTGAGCGAATTGGTTCAAAGGGACTCCTTCACCAATTCCCTAATTTCTCTCGGCCTTCTTGACCCACCAGCCCAGTCGCTCGACTCCACTAGCCAAGCTTTTTTCAACACTGCTTTCGGATCATATAATGCAACCCAGACTCAGCCTGAATTTCATGTAAAATTAATTTCATAATCCCAATTTTTGTGAACAATTTTAAATTGCAGGTTTTGCAGCTCAACCTAGTCAAAAGCTTTCGAGTGCCTCAGTTAGCTATGGATAGTAAACTATCAGAAAGCGTTCTGGAGCTCCTGAAGTCGGAGCGTGATACGGACATGCTTTTTGAAGTTGTCAACTCTGCGCCAGGTAAAATTGAATAAAATAATGAAAATTAAGACAATTCATATTAAAAAAAATTCATTCAGATCTTAGAGAAACTGCTGATGTGTCTGAACCAACGGAACAAACTGCACCAGAAGTGCATGTTTTCAAGGCTCACAGAGTGATTGTGGCTGCCAGATGCGACTGGTTCCGAAGGGCACTTTTGTCTGGCATGAGAGAGTCGATTGACAGGAAAATTGTGGTGCATGACACGAGCCACTCTCTGTTCAAAATCTTCCTTGAGTATCTGTACTGCGGGCGACTAGACGCTGCCAACTTGTCGTTGGACCAACTGACAGATCTGATGCTGTTGGCTGACAGGTACGAGTTGGATAGCCTGAAGCAGGCCTCGGAACAGGCGCTCCAGGGTTATGTTGATGAGGAAACGGCTCTTTGTCTGCTCAGCATGTCCGAGCAAATAAATGCAAGGTAAGAGTGAGAATTTTTACTTTGATAATATTTACTCAACTTGAATTTCCAAGGCTGCTGAGAGACTCTTGCATTTTCTTCATTTCCTCACATCCCGATGTGATGGAAACTGAGCTGTTCGAGGAGCTGCCGCACTGCCTGCAAGCGGAGGTGTACAAAGCCAGAAGTTCTTGGGCAAAACCAAAGAGACCCAAGAAGCAGAACTCCTCTGATCGACTTTTGGGACTTCGCAGTCGCAGCTCTTCCCCGACCTCAGCTGGTTCCAGCATTGCCGATCTGGATGATTTTGCCTACCAAATTCAGCTTGATCCAGAAGTAATTTATTAAATTTTCTATCATATTTAGCCATTTAATATTTTAAATTTATATTTTTTAATGAAATTCACTTTTTTTTATATTAAAATTATTTGCTAGGAATCAGCAAGACAGATATCCGAAGGCCTTTTGCCAAATGGATCGCGGCTGAACAACTGCTTGGAGCAGTTGCAAGACATCGTTGGTCCTGTGATACCTCGCGAGCGGCTCATTCAAGTCGTCTTGGCTGCCGACTTCAATGTAAACCGAGCTCTCAACTTCATATTTTCCTTGCCAAATGAGTCTTCCTTGCTTTGAGTTTCCTGTAGGTACAGTAAGTGCTTCTGCTTTCTTGTAATTTTCTTTTTTTTTAATTGTCTTATAAGCAGGAAAATTGCAATATTTACACACAGTCTAGATGTTGACTGGCCATAGAAAGAAAATAAAAAAAAGAGTCCATTGACAGTTTTTGATCAGCTTTCTAAATCTTAAATATAATGTAGCACCTTTTGTGTTACATTAAAATTTACTGAGCGAAAAGAAAAATGTTGGTCGCACATAAAAAAATTACAAATCACTTTTCCCTCAAAATTTTTAAAGCCTACCATGAATGTCAAAAGGAATCCTTGTGAAAAGTAGGATTGCTTTAAATTTTCGAATGTGCCTCATCCTCAGAAGGACTGAAGCTAACTTGCGAACTTGGAAGCATAATCTGAGGCACAGTTTATATTTAAAAAAATGCATACAAATTACTTGACTTATTGTCGGACTGCTCTTCAAAGTATTTAAAGAAGCTTTTCAAATTTTCTGAAAACAAACATTCCATAATACATTTATAGAATTGCTCTTTTTGAAATCATGTAAAATGGATTTTGCCAGCTATAGAAATTGTCTATTTAAAATTGGCGCATTCTTTGTCGTTGTAAAACTGATATGATAAGTGATTTTGAAACTAATCAATATCCCTTGATGCAATATAGAGATATTATTAAAAATTTGTGTATTTCCATTAATGGCTTCATATTTATAGCAATTATTATATTTGTCTTTAAGTCTCTTAAATAAAAATCAAAGTATTAAAACTTCCAAAATAAATAAAAAGAAGTTTTGTTTCTACTAAAACAGTAAGACCTATTTCTTATTGTGCATGAAATTTCTTTTATTTAATGGGATTTAACGCATGAATTGCAAACAAATAAAAAATTTGATCAAGTCAACATTAATTTGCGGTGAAAATTTGATTTATGATCACGGACCACTACTTTCCTCCACTTTCACTTTTTTGCTTGGATTACCAGTCGAATCTTTGTCGTTTCTTTGTCGCTTCGACATAAACTTGAGTCCAATTGATTTTGAGAGCGAGGCCATCCTCAGGGCCATGTCCTCATCCAAAACACACTTCTCCTCGCGCTCTTGTTTCACAGCGTCAAGTCTTTTTTGCTCTGCCTCTTTCTTGGCATCTTCCTCCGACTGCATGAGCTGCTCGATCTCCTTGTTGAATCCCAGGTATGAAAACCTACCTTCTCGTAAATTAAGTAAAGGAACTAGACTGGGCTCTTCCAAGAATCTTTGCCTGTAGGTTTTAAAAAAAAATATTAACTATATTTAAAAGAAAAATAAATTATGCTGTTACCCTTCAGAAACCATCTGATCGGTGATCTCGTTAGAAAACATCTCTTTACGGTCCTCATCTTCTCTTCGTTTTTCCTCAAGTTCTTTGGTTTTTTTCATAAACTACATACAAAATGTTCTATTAGTACAAAATTTATAAAGAAAGACCAAAAGATGGCTCTATTAAAGTGCGTTGTGGTGTATGTAAATCGTATTATAAAATCCACGATTTTTTATTCACATACCTTCATTTCCAATAGGCTTTTTGGAAGCTGAAACTTCTTCTTCTTTACAGGTCCCATCTTTGTTAATTAAATCAGTGCGTCTTAAATACAAACTATACTTTAAATTTAACGTTTTTTTAAATCACTCTTTCTTGCGCAAAGAGTTCACGTTTATTTATTTTTCACTTTCACGTGCAACGGCGGGGGCGTGGTTTTGCTGTTTCCATCCAGGGAAATAAGATCCAGGGTTGATCCAGGGCAACATCCAGGGGTCTTATGCAAGGTCTTATGGCATCCAGGGATACCAACATTACCAATTTTTTGTTGTTCTTGCCGTGGTCGGTTCGCCCACCTCTTGCGCCCCTTTAAGTTTATGTTAATTAGTTTCGTTTGCTGCCTGAAAAAACAGAAAGAGTCAAAGAGAGCAAGTCGAAGGTCGAGGAGAAAGATAAAATAAAATTAAGCCGGCGAATTGCAGCGAATTGTTTGCTTTGCTTGATCGTGAGGGCTGTAGATGAAAAAATCACACAATGAGTGCTTCTTTGACTGACATCGAGTACCTGAAGAGCTGCCTTAAAAGCTACCCTGACTTTCCAAAACCTGGAATTCTGTTTTAGTGAGGACCTTTAAATTTTTGTATATACAAAAATTAATATTATTTCATTGCAGTGACGTTTTCTCATTGCTTTCGCAGCCAAAAGCATTTAACCTGTTAGTGGACTTGTTGGTGTCTCGAGCTAAAAGTTATGATCCGCCAGTGACTGCCATCGTTGCTCTTGACTCCAGAGGTTTTCTTTTTGGACCAATTATTGCTCTCAAGCTCAACATTCCATTTGTGCCTATAAGAAAGAAGAATAAACTGCCTGGAAAGGTTTTGAAGGCCACTTATCAGTTGGAATATGGAGAGGTAAATTTAATTTATTGCATGGCAATAAAAATGTAGAGGAATTTTTGAACAGGACACTCTTGAGATTCAGCAGGATGCTTTAGAAAAGGGACAGGCAGTGCTTCTGGTAGATGATCTTATTGCTACAGGAGGTGAAACTTTTTTTAAATTATTATCTAAATAATCTATTATTTTAAAAAATAAAATTAATGGAGATCAGCAATCCTTTCAAATTTAAGTTTTCCAAAAAAATAATTTCAAACATCAAACTTTTTATGTTTTAGGTACATTAGAGGCAGGCTGTAATCTGGTCAAACAATTGGGCTGCACTGTGAGTAGCTGTCTGGTGGTCATGGAGCTGAATGGCCTGAAAGGTCGAGACAATGTCTCTGCTCCGGTTGACTCGCTTATCCAGTACTAGACTTGAAGATTCGTTCATGATTCCCCAGAAAAAAAGAACAGAAATAATTTCTTGCAATGATAATTTGTGCAATCGTGTAAGGTTGAAAATATTTGTATTCCATTGCACTGCATTCCTCAAGCTCAAACTTCAGATTTTTTAAGGCGCACTGTGATGTAAATTTTTTATTGAAAGGAGAATTCCCATATCTCCGTTGAATACATACTACATTTGTTCAAATACTTTTTAATTTGATCAATTTCAAGAAAACGCACAAATAAGCTTTTTATAAAAAGCCAATAAAATTTCAAAATGCTTGATTTGTACTGTAAAGTGAAGCATAATATTCTGCATTAAATTTTCAGAAGATTGCTTAAATTTCAAGGTTTTTCATCACTGATTACTTTTTCATCTGGATACAAAAATGCAATATTTAATAAAAAAAAAAATATGAGATTTAATATTTAATTCATGCAGATTTTAATTTATCACTTAAAAATTGAAACAATTATCCCACAATAATTCAAAACAAATTTTTTAGACTATTATTTAAATTTTGTTCTCTAAATTACTTCATTGTTATAATTTTTAGAATTAATTAGTAAGAAAAACTAATGTTTTTTCTATCTCTGCGTTTTTTTAAAGTTAAGTGTGCGATTATTTTTTGCTTATTTTTTAAATACACATACTCAAATATGATATTTATATTCATCAGCATGATCGGCATATATATGCGCAGAGAACTAAAAAAGCTGTATGGGGGCTGCGTTCTCCTCTGTCTCAAGGTTATTTACATAAATATTTTAGTCTGGAGAAAGCCTTCATCCAATATCCAATCCAAGATTTTGCAGGTAAATGACAAAGTTAATAATATACAAGTTAAGATTGGAGAGGGGGAATGGCATCTTCTTCTGATCATCTGATCTGAACAAAAAAACAACAACAAAAACATGCATGCAGCAGGTGGGATAACTGCTATTTTTATTTGGTAAACAAAAGTTTCTTTTCACCGTTATCTATATTTACATATATGGTTAATGTTTATATATGCGGTTTATACAGATATAATAGATAAGATTTTATGTATTTATGTATTTTTAGATTTTTTGACTGATAAAACGGATAAAACCGATACTATACAACATATCTTTTGTCTCTCACAATCAGCTTTATAGATTGAACCAATATAAGAAGAAGCTAGGAAGGTGTGATGCTGATTAATTCACTCAATCGATGCTGGCTTCTTGCAACCGTAGCCAGAAGATTTAGTTCTGCAAATCTGAAAAGTGTCAGCATGCAGAAAATTAATTATGACAGATTTGTCAACGCGCTGTCAGCCAGGAGAAAACCCTCTCCAATTCGAGAACTGAGTAATTTTTTATTAGAAATTAATTTAATTTAAAAATGAACTTTTTCTAATTTTAGCCAAGCTGTACGCAAGTGCTCCTGCTGGCACAATTTTCCTGGCAGGCGGAATTCCCAATGGCTCCACTTTTCCGTTCAGCCAAATGACTGTGGAATTGAAAGACGGGTCGTCGTTAAAAATTAGTGGCAAAACTATGGAAAATGCTCTTCAGTACCAACCTACCCCTGGGTTAATATTTTTTCTTACCAAACCCTTAAATATATATTTTTTTTATTTAATTATAAAAATAAATTTTTTATTACAATGTTCATTTTCAGGTACCCTGCTCTTATACATCAGCTAAAAAAGTTCCAGTCGGAAGTGCACAAATTAAAAGAATTGTTCTGGATGAAAAATGACTTGCTTGTTTCAACTGGGAGTCAAGATGCTCTTTGCAAAGCTTTGGAGATGAGTCTTGAGGAGGGCGACCCTATTCTAGTTCAGGAGCCAATTTACCCTGGAACTTCAGCTATTGTGAATTTTCATAGATTATATTTTGTCATTTAAAATTAACAATTTGACTAATATGTACAGATTAGGCCATTAAACGCCAAAATGGTCCCGATAGCTCAAGACGAAGAAGGAATAATTCCGTCTGCATTGGAAGATGTTTTATCGACGTTCGGAACTGCCGAGGAAGTGTCTGCCAAATCAAACGGAGTGCCAAAAGTATGGATCAGATTATTTTTTTTAATTTCATTTTTTATCTCAATTTTTATAATAGCTTTTGTATTTAAATTCAACTGGAGCAAATCCGACTGGTGCCACAATTTCCACCTTGAGGAAAAAGGAAATTTACAAAATCGTCTGCGAGTACAATCTGGTCATTATGGAAGACGACCCTTACTACTTTTTGCATTTTGAAGAGGTTCAGCCCTAAATTAAGTCAATATGAAATTTAAAATAAAAGGTTTTTAAATTCTAGCAAGACCCTGTCAGTTTCCTTTCAATGGATGTTGAAGGTCGAGTGTTGCGGTTTGACTCGTTTTCCAAAATCTTAAGCTCGGGTCTCCGAATTGGTTTCGTCACTGGCCCTAAAGATCTAGTCCATCGAATTGAGCTCCACACACAAGCCTCAACCATGCACACATCAGCTTTTTCACAAGTAAAAAAAAAATTTAGAATGATATAAATAAATATTAAAAATTATGTAAATTTTTGCACTAGGTAGTTGTGAGTACTCTTTTGGAAGAGTGGGGCTCGGCTAAATTACAGCAGCATTTTAAGTCAATCCAAAAATTTTACAAAGATAAAAGGGATTGCATGCTGGCAGCTGCAGATAAACACCTGAAAGGTCTGGCGGAGTGGAACGTACCAAAAGCCGGAATGTTCCTCTGGATCAGGGTCCCTGGAATTGCCGACACAAAGAAGCTGATCACAGAGGGTGGAATTTTGCACGGAGTCATTTTGGTGCCTGGAAAGGACTTTCTTTGCACCGACGATGCAAAAAGTCAATACTTTCGGGCATCATATACTGTAGCCTCTCCGCAAGATATTGATAAGGTGAATTTGCTATAAAAAAGTGAATCTTTTTCTAAAATACATATTGAATTTCCAGGGGTTTGAGAGGCTTGCAAATTTGATTCGAGAAGAGAACAAATGAATGCATTCCATGTGAAGGGCTCTGTTAATACATTTTGATAAACATGTTATTTACATTTTTTATATCACTAATATATTAAACATAAGTGTATTTTTGTATGCTGGAATAAAAAAAAACACCAATTTTATTTTAAACAGCACACGACTTTATTACTTAAGCACTACATCAAATTCAACTTTGAGAACAAGCTCGAAACTGGCAAACCGATATGATGCAGTAGCAAATGCAAAAATGACAGGTAAATGTGTGTATCATAATTAATTATGTATTCATCAAATCGACTCAATTACTCGTATGAACAAACAGAGGATTAATAATTGAAGATCAAACTGTTCCTGGCCACACAACAGCACATTGGAACACAACGTACACCAAAATACTCGTAATCTCGCATAAATTAAGAAATACATGGTCACTTGAATTTCACCGAGTTCAATTTATAAATGACGGTCGTCGTAGTGAAGGACGACCCACCCTTCAACATTCATTATTTGATTATCATGAGACGCCATTTGGCAGCTACGAAGGTGCGATATCTTTATGGATTTTGGGGTAATTTTAAAACAAGAAGTAAAACATTCTGAAATGTTTTGTGATCAAAAATGGAGGGCAGTTTAATACTAGCGATTATGGTTCAGAATCATTACCATAACCGTAATGAACGTCCTATACAAATTCAGCCGCCAACCATTTTATTGCTGATTTCAAATCGAGCTAATTATTTGAAGACTTGGTCCATTCAATTCTGTTATTCGGGAAATTGTTCAATCAGTTAAGAGCATCGCAAACTTAAACAAGTAAAAGGTAACAACAAAACAATCAAGCCAGGAGGAACCAAGTTTATCTTTGAAGGCGCTACTCCTTTCTAGGCCGTCTTTGTCTGGCTGTTGTTGTGGGCACTTTGGCATCAGTTTTATTATCTTCAGATTCCTAATGCAAATTCAAAAATTATTAAACGGAAAAATTCAAATTCAAAGATCAAACCTCTGCCTCCTCCTCATCCTCCTCTTCTTCTTCTTCATCTTCCTCTCCGCTTCCTTCCTCTTCATTCTCCTCTTCAGCATCACCCGCCCCATTCACTGGGGTTTCTAGTTGCCCCTTGGATGCAGGTTTTTTGGGCTCTTCGACCTCCTCGTCATCTGGCTGAGGAGCGTCAGTTTTTTTGGCGTCAGCTTGAGTGTCCTGGAAATATTTGAAAATTATGTGAGGTCTAAGTGGAGGTTGCAAAGCAACTCACAACTCTCCTGCCAGTGTCTCCACAGCAGAAGTAGAAGAAGGCAACGACTGGCAAGCCAACGACAACGATGATTACGACCCACAGCCAGGGGTACTGGGTAGTGTACGCCAACAGCCTAGTTGATAGCGAATCCTACAAGCATGGCAATCAAACTAAATTCTAGCCTACACAAATTTCAATGTGAGCAGCATTTTCAGGGATCTACAATGGGGTTTACAACAACAGATAAAATTCTCTCGGGAACCGGTACCTCCTTGGACCTGCGATAGAGGTACCAAACGTAACAGCTGATGGGTATCAAGCAGTAGATGAAGTAAATGCCCCAGTAGCCTGGTTTGTAGTTCATTCTACGCATCATTTTGCCCCACCACGTTTGCTAACACGGATTAATTTTTAATTTAAATTATAAGTAAAGAAAGACACATTAACGAGTTAACTGAAATTGACAATGCTCACATTGAATAAAAATATTCACTTTTAGACTTAAAATACATAAATTCACCAATTTAGATGTGTCCATAACTTACATCATAAACACCCTGAGAAATTAATAAATAAATTGAAGATAATTAAAAAAATGATTATTGTGTACTCACAGCTTGCTTGTCGAGTTTAATTCGCTTGATGTCAAACGAGTCAGCTGCGTACTGCTCAGCAACAATCAGACTGTCTGTGATGATGAGGTTGTCGAACATGATGTTGTCACTCATTGACCACAGTTCAAAACCAACAGCTCCCTTGAATAACAAATCATTAGCTCAACCCTATGATTGGAATTATGCATACAATTGGGGTCATCAGGAAAGGCTGGAGGTCTTCGAAGTAGTCAGGGTTGGAGATTCGGCGCGGGCGCCACTTGCCCTTATAGTTGGGGTTGTCAATCAGAGGGGGACGCCATTTGCCCTTGTAATTAGGGTTGTCAATCAAAGGACGGGTCCACTGCCCACAACCAGCAGCACTTTCACACATGGGGTTAGGAATCAAGGGTGCTTCCCATTCACCATCCATGTCGACATCCCTAATGAATAAAAGTTAGTGATGAATTAATTTCAAAACGAGGGTGACTAACCAGTCTTCAGGCTTTTCAGCGTTAGGGTCAGCAATGTTATCAGGTTCGTCGTCCAACCAACCGATCGGCTTCTCGGCAGTCTCGTCAGGAATCTGGGCAGGTGCGTCTTCGTCCCAATCGTCAGGTTTGCGAGCCTCTGGATCAGGAATCTTCTCCCTCTCGTCCCAATCATTGGGCTTGAAGTCGTTAGGATCATCGATCTCAGCAAGAGGATTCACTGGAGGGCTGACGTCTTCCAAGAGACTTCCCTTGTTGACTACCTGTTTATTTGATATATGTGTTAAATTCAATCGTGTTTGATATTTTGTAGACGTACTTTGTGGTCAACGCTGACTGAGAAAGAGTTGTCTGGGTTGATGACTAGGGTGTACAGATGAGGACGTTTGTCTTTGAAAGGCTCCTCGATGCGCTCCTTGGGCTTTTTGGCGTGCTTCTCTTCAAATGATCCATTCAGTGGGTTCTTGTGACGGAAGATGAAGTGCAACTGAAACATTAAAATGATCATTACGTTAACAAAAAAATTGTTGACTATTGATCTTAATTATAATAATATTATGATGCAGCATTTTCCAATTTAATTAGTAAATTAATATCATCTCTTAGTCTAACTTTCTAAAAGTCGAGCCTCACCTTGTTGTCATTTCCGCACTTGTCAGGTCCAAACATGATTGTGTAGGGCGTTTTGTCGTGGAACTCCTTCAGATTGATGGGTTTCCTGGTCTTCGGGTTGGGGTCCAACGAGAGCAGCTTGAGGTAGGCACCACCACACTCCTGGCCATTTTGGAGGTTGACCTCGTACTGCACAACGAACGGACGGTCACTGAACAAGAACGGCTTGTCCAACAGGGTAGCAATGGCGGCATGTTTGGCCTTTGATTTGAGCACCAGACCCTCGTCGCCAGTCACAGGGTCACGTTGAGCCTCCTCCAATTTCCACACACCGTCGTACTTTGCTATCAAATCGTCGGTGTCTTCCTTTTTGGCCTCTGACCTGACCCACCGTTCCTTGAACAGGTCGGGGTCGTCAAAGTTTTCGTGCAAGTAATAGTTGCCATCAGGTATGGGGCTGTAGTACTCCTCCACCTCTTCCTCTGCAGGAACTGCTAAGGCTGGTTTCGACTGTTGAAAAGATATTGCGCAATCATAATTGTGCTAATAATAGCTTTTGATAGAAGGTTCCAGATCAGATTGATAAGGATGTGAAAATTGTACGTACTTGTTCATCCTCTTCCTCGATCGTAACATATTCGTCTTCGTCGCCTTCGTCACCACCATAGTCCTCGTCTTCTTCTCCGGATATCAAATTGAAATTGGTGATTAAGAGAAGTCCCAGGAAAATCCAACTCAACCGCACTTTCATTGTGACGTTGCGTGTGCGACACCTTTTCAACTCAAAAAAGCACCTAAATCAAAAAAGGGCCACGTTACTCCAACAAAATCGTTTTTCAAACTTCATGATATTAAACGATTTACTTGTATTTCAATGATGTTAATTCAAAGGAAAAAAATTAAAATAAAATAAAAATGAGGTAAAAATAAGTATAAATTTATGAAATAATTCGTCAGTAAAAACTTAGCAGAATTTATGAAAATAGATGAATTGGAGTGTTATTTCATGAAATCTAATGACTCGCTTGTATCATAATCATCAAAAAATGTAAAACCTGACGGTGAAATAGCGAGCAACACGATATTACTTCAATTTAAATTGAGAAAATTAAGATAATGACAGTACAATCCATGGACGAAGAATTCGCCGTTGGAACCCGAATTTTTGTTCAACATTTAAACGAAAAGGGCGCAGCCCGCACACTTACACTCAAATTAATTTGTTAGACGAAGACTTCTGTCGCAATCTGAAGTCCTAGTTACACATTTGAGCCGAGAATAATTTAATTAAATTACCGGCGAATCGTGGAGTTCCACGATGACAGAATTGTTGTCAGCCACGGCCAGGCGGAATTGGTTCGGCGGAGCACGTAGAGGATGCGCTAAAAAGCCGGTAAGGGAGATGGGGGAGTCACCAACAATGGAAATTGAGTCTTTTCAACAATGCGCGAACGCCACTGTCGTAGCCTCTGCAGTTCAAACCCGTGCAAATGCGAAATCGAGGGTTCTTTTTGGAGGCGTGTCAAGAAGGAAATGAATTTCCACCAACTTAACAAATTTATCCCTCTAATTTGAAATAAGAAAATTTTGGAAAATTTACTCAATTTGTGAGACCTTTTAGTGTATTACTTTTTTTACAAAATATTATATTCGATACCGGCTAATTTTTTCATAATTCGCCGGACCTCTCAGCTCCCCAACTGACAATGAACCAAATTCACCACGCAATGCATTTTGCATATAAATTATTTTTTGTGTATATAGACCACAATTTTTTATAGGAGAATTTTATTTATTACTAAATTTAATTATTACACTAATCATGTTGCTTCGACTGCACTGTCTAATTTTTGCAAGGCTTTTTTAGAGCAACCCCTTATTATGTCAAAAAAAAATTTATATCAATCTTCACAATTTATTTATTTTTATATTTTATTATATTTAGGGGTGATTATCAAATTCCAGATAAATCATTCTGTGGTTTATAGTGTGTTATTCAAGGTTTATTGTCTGCAGGGATAACATGGGAGACAGATCATGATTTAAAACAACATTAAAAATTTCTTTTTTCAAGAATCCATTTTTGAGGAATATGTATCGTTTTTGCATTTTTATTTTTACCGTTCTACGTTTTGCTATTTTGTTAAATATATGTAATGGTTTTCATGTTCTTATTTCATTTTCCTGCTGGCTTTAAAATCCTTGAAAGGGAGTTGTGATTGTAGAAAATGGTAGACATTATAAAATGTTAACATATGTCAATAGTGCCTTGATCTTTTCAAGTTTGTATTCGATATTTATCTAGACACTACAAACCGCTACAAACATTAAAAGTATTTAATTAAAGAGTGTTTCTTTTGTCTCCTGTTGCGAGACTTGCGAGAGTCATAATTTATTAAATGAAAACTGCTCCTCTGCAAATTACATATTAAAATTTTATCAAAATCATTTTATTTTTAAATAAATTATTTTTCAAACTCATGGAAAACTTGTAAGACATGAGTTGAACTGGTTAATTGAAAACAAAATATCCATTTTTAATAAAATTTGGGGAGGTTGTGGCGACTGAATTAAGTCTGGGACTTTTTACATTTTGAAGAGCTATATTTATTTTAAATTATTATATATTATATTATTTCAGTAAATAATAATTAACTAATTAATTATAATCTTAAATTTTAAGAAGGTACTCGTACGACATGTGCGAAAAAGTTTTGTCATTGAAAACCTCTTGCCAACATTATTCCACTAAATATTTTGTCAGTATCAGAAAAATTTGCAAATTACCAACGATTTATATCCAAATAATTAAAAAAAAAAATCCTGCAGCATCCGGACAACATTAATATACAACTTATTATATTTTATGTCATTTCAAAGTATCCAAATCTATATATTGAAAACAATCACTTTTAAAGATTTTTTTGTCTTAAATTCCACTGAATTCTTTGATATGTTTGATTTTCACGGTCGAATCTGTCCAGCAGCTCTCACTTTGGCAAACGAGAAAAATGTGCGCTTTCAACAAAGTCATTATTTTTTTCATGATGGGCCGGGACCGGGTAACACTTTTGATCACATATTTCACGGAGTAATTAAGGAAGAAAACCGCGCAAAGCAGCGAGATCACAAAAGTTGTTGGACTTTTGAACAATTTGAACCAATTATAATTAACTGGTCGCCTTGTCGTAGGAAGGAGGAGGTACTTCTTGAGGGTTGGTCGTCGTCGGCTCCTGCTCGCCCTCCGGCTGCGGAAGCCAAATGGCGATGTGGTACGGAGGAGGTTCGCCGCCCATCAGCGACTCTTGTGCTTCGTAAATTGGTCGGTCGGACAACGATGATTGTTCCATTTGGTGGCGCACACAGAGGGCAGGCTGGGAGACACTCTCAGGTCCAGGATCTTCTTCTGGAACTTCAATCAGGGCACTTCTTGGACCTGAATTGCAAAGAAAAGTTTGAATTTTAAGTATTTTAGATTATAAACATAAAAATTAAGATAAATAAAAAAAACTAGATTTTTTTAATAGAATTATTTATTTTACCAAAACAAAAATTTTTATTCAACGATTTGCAAAAAAAAATTCCTTAATTTATTTCATCCCCGTACATTTTTCTTTTTAAAATTCATAAAATTACATAGCACAAAAAAGTATTGAACTTATAAAATAATAGCTGGAATTTGCATTAAAAAAGTTCAACGACGAGTTGATAATATTGTAGATATCATAAGAATTAGCAATTTAATTTTCGTTGAATAAACGTTCAAATTTTTATTTTCTCGATTGAAATTTAAATGAAAAATTCTCACCCAGATCGTGTGAATTGTTTGGTCCCTGCGGGGTGCGTGCGATGAAGCAGCCTCTTGGAGGGCCGGCGCTGCACAATGAGATCATACAGCCGCAGCAGAGGAGCAGGAGCAAAAGCGCGCACACCATTAAGTAGAGTATCTCTAGTCCAGACCCCTAAACGAAAATCGATTTTAGTCGCTTGGTAAAAAAGCTTTTTCTCTTTTTCTTATATACTAAAATTAAATAAAAAATTTTTCTCACTTTACTCACTTTGTGGTCCGAGTAGAACCTGGCGGCCGCCACGGAAAACGAGATCAGGGCCAGGGTGGCCCAGAGCCCACATTTGAGGCGGCCGGAGGCGAAAACCTCCCTCTGCGGTGCCGGCAGTCGAAGGAGAACTTGCTGCTGTGATGCAAGACCAGGCCCCACGGCGCCGTGGGGCAGCAGCGACATTCCGCCCCCGCCCCGGGCCGAACCGACCAACTCAGAGTTCTCCGACATGTCCTGCGCCGCGATTTCCAAACTGAAGAGCATAAAATTGCAGAGAAAATTTACAATCTTTTTGAGCTGTACACTTTGAAAAAACAAAATCGTTATTATTGCAGTTTTTACGAAGTATGCAATTTGCTCCACAGACATGTCCAGCAGGTGGCATAAATTTATTTTATATACGAGAAACGAGAATCGCTTTTTTTAATAATTTATGGTCTGGCCTAAGAGAATGATATTATATTGTAAATTTGGGCTAATTCAAGTTAATTATTTTCATTAAAATTAAATAAAGAGAAAAGCATTTTTATAAAAAAAAAATTTGAGTAAAGATTCAATATATGGAATTCTCAAACTGAGTGAGAAAAACCTATGCTCTTAAAACGTTTTACAAGATCGAAATTTCAAATTTAATTGTATCTCCCCATACTCTGAAAACAATATTATTTTGTTTCAAGAAATAAATTTTTCTATTTACAAGTGATTCATAAAGACAGATGTCTTTCTGTTGAATCTCAAGATATAAACAATACATCAATAATTTAAAATGTATGCACATTTTTTTTTTAATTTGTATTGGAAAATTAAAAAAGCAGCTCCAACTTTTTTAATTATGAGGAAAATCTTCATTTCTGAATTTTTAATTGAAAAATTAAAAATATTTCATGAAAATCATAAAACCCACCAAAAACAAATTATTTCCATATTTAAAAAAACGTTTTTTTTTTTCGAACCTTGGCTCGGCCGAGGCGAATCTCGAACTGGAGGAAGCGTGATTGGGACTGGTGGCGCGCGAGGAGGACGCGGCCGCCTGCAGCAGGGACGAGGCCTGGTGCGCATGGTGGTGATGATTGTGGTGGCCGTGGTTGTGCAGTCGGGGCCGGTGGTGGTGGCCGCGTCGCAGGCCGGCGCTGGCCGCCTGCACACTCTCGATTGGTTGGAACCGATGGACGGGGGTCACCATGACGAGGCCGCCGACTTTGCAGCCTCCCACCCCTGCGCCGCTCCAACCACCCCCACGGTGTCTGTTCGGTGAAGGGCCGTACCTGTTTCTGCTGAGTGAACACACCTGACTGCGTTTGTCGATCCAAAAATGCATCGATTATTGCAAAGGGGTTGTGAGAGAGATGCGAGGAGGGTGCTCCGACGGCGCTCACGTCCCGCAACTTTAAGTCTCTAAGGCGAGTTTTCTCATTGTGGACGGTGCGGATTTTGGAGGGTTTTGACGAAGGCTGAGTTCGATTTATCTAGAATTAGATTGACCAGGAAAATTGCACTTAATTCTGGAATTTTAATTTAATAAGTAAATAATAATAAATAATTACAAAAGTCCTAGGCCTTTAACAATTTATTTTGTTTAAAAAATTTATTATAAAAAAAATATTTTGTTTTAAATAAATATGTGAATTTAATTACTTAAGCTTATTACAGTTATTACATAAGAGATAAGAATGTAAAAATAAGTAAAATAAAAAATGTTTACTGAATTCTGTGATCATTCAAAATTTAGAATGATTTACAAGAAGAACAAGAACATTAAAATAGTAAATTAAATTTTAAAAATACAATTAAAGTGGAGATTTAAATGTTATAAATAAAATTGATTTTTTCACATAATGTATTAATTTTTCCACAAATATTTCAAGCTTTGAATGCACCCCATAATTTTTTCTTTTATCACTTTATTAAAAGATTTTAACATAAATAAAACTATAATCCCCTGTGCATACAAAATAAACAAACGCCAACGCCTTTTTCAGGGGCAAAACAAGAAGTCCTCTCAGGTTGGAATAAAAATTATAAACAGCCTGATCTAAAACTTCTTCCTATCTCTCACCTCAGCCTTCTTATTTCTCACCTTAGCAGCAGCAACATTATCTTGTGCCGAGTGCGAGTGGCATCTTTTTCTCGCTCGCTTTAATACCACTCAAGGAAGCTTCAAATCACTTCACAGCCCACCTTGCCAGCTCGCGAGCTGCGAGTGTGTTTACCCCCGCGGAGGGTTGCAGCCCCGCTCACCCCCGCAACTAATTGCACGCATCGCCAAGACGCCCCGTCGGCGAATTGATTGCGACGGCACTCGTCATGCCGACAACTAATTGCAGCCCAATCTGCGAGACAAAACAATCCTCAGCGGCTGACGAGTCAGTGTGTTGAGCGGTGGTGCGCGGCTTTGCATTTCTGCCATGCCTACTTTTATTGATTTTCCACCCTTGTATATGTGCGAGTTAGTTGCTGCTGCTTCTTTTGAGCACCACCGCACTCTCTCGCACACATAAATACTCTGTGCACACGGCAAATTTTTCTCCCTTGGTGACACAAAAAATTCTTGCTAAGCTCTGGAGGGCCATGAAAATTAATTTGAAATTTTGTGAAAAAAAGTCTGGTTAAAAATTTTTTTATTATAATCTGCCCTGAATATTATATATTGATTTGACCAGGAAATTTCGTTTTAATATAATTATGCAGATTAAAATAATTTCGAGTTTCAATAGGGAAAAAATTAAATTCTTACAAGTTTTGCTTGTTAAATGATGTAATGCCTATTTCTTTAATTATTTCATAGTTATTACAGCACAACAAACGCACACATTCCTTCAAACATAAAGAATAGCATATGAGAATGAGGAAAAACTAAACAGTCCAGCAAGACTTGTTGAAGAACTTCCCTATCATAGATAGAGTTTGAGCTCACCTTTTAAAGAAGACAAAAACAAGTTTCCGAACTCATTCAGTTTTCTTTATGCACTTCTTGCTAGACAAAAAGAAATAAATGTCTCTCTTCGATGATATTCGGCTGGTTTCATGTTTAACGAACTTGCTTCTTGCTCAACAAATATGACTACGGCTAGAGCAGAAATTTACCGTTGAGGTCCCGCACCTCCCACCATCGCTGCATTAGGGCCAAGCAGAAGCTGAGGAAGAAGAAAAACTTAATTTTTGAACTAATATCCTGGATTGATATTTTACTTGTCTATTTTGCTGCTTTTGCATTTCCTCCACCTGGATGCGCTCCGTTTCAAATATCACAGGAGCAAACAAGATGACGGCCGACGAGAAGAAGACCCACGACGAAACTCTGAGGAATGAATAGAGGCCTAGAAAATTAAAGCAAAATAAAAATTTCTGCAAATTTCGGTAAAAAAACCCAATAAAACCTTTGGCGCTGGCACAGGTCGCGGAACAAGTAGAACCCGCTGCTTTTCGCACAGGCTCGGGGAACATTTCTGTCAGGCCCCACAGTCTCTCTGTCAGAGATTCGTCCTAGAAATTTAAATTCATTAGATTAGAAAAGAAGCAAAATGCAATAATAAAAATTACCTCAACTTCCTCCTCGTCATCTTCTGTGATGGCACCGGCCGTTGGCTTCTCAGGCGTGAGATCCTTGCTGCTGGCAGACAAAGACTCCATTCCGCTGTCTGACTCTTCTGCTGGGGCCATAGACCGACTGAAAGACAATAAAAGAGAAGTTAGTAGCGCTCCAATGCTTTGTAACTTGAGATATCTTCAAATTGACTTATATGAGATTATTGCAAATTGTGATAATTATTAATGTAATTAATATTACTATAAAGTAAAAAAAAAACGATAAAATAAAAATATAATCCATAAAATTGAAAAAAAGGTGTTCAAAGTTCAGTTCAGAAAGATTTGTAAACAGAATTTAAAAATTAAAATATTTCTTATGCTCTTCCCTCATAATAATGCTCATAATTTACTGATAATTTACACTTTAAACTCGTCAACTTTCAGTCGAAATTAAAAATTTATAAAATTTTGCGAGCTGATATTTGGTCAGACACAAATTGCAGCATGCAATTGAAAGTGCGTGCATATTTTAAAGATGATTATGTATCAATTATGGAATTTCACCTCATCGAATTGCGTACAATACATTGTAGATGGAATTTTAAAGTAGTAGCAACCGGGATATCTGGGTTTGGGGGTCAAAAGTGATGTTACAGGGAGAACAAACTTTTCCATAACAAAATCAATGAAGACGAGGCCGTGATCGGAATCCCGGCGAGTTCAAACCAATTTTGAGAGACTCCTGGGGCAAATCAAATGAATTTGTGGTTACCTGTCCTCCCTTCTGCTTCCCGGCAAATATTTTCAATGTTCAAAAATCCAAGAGTCGGTAATTTTTGCAAGAATTTTACGAACGCACGGGAGATGAGCACAACAATGTGGGAGAACCAGCGATTTTCTCCAGAAATCAGCCATGGGTCGTGCGCTGTTGCCACATCACCGAGATTATTTTCAAGAAACAAAACCCGCACCTGTTTTAAACAATTTTCGAGCATTTTAGCATAAAAACTTCTGTTAATATTTTAATTTAAATATTAATTTGAATGAAAATTTCTAATTAATGGATCAGGAAATATGAAATTGCCAAAAAGTAGAAGAATTTTGTTGGTGTAGCAACAGTGGAAGCTGTGACAACATTAACATGTGGCCTTGTGGGTTCAAAAAAAAATGTTGATCGACTGCAAAGTGCAAAAACTGCAAAAACATAAATTTTACGACCATTGAGAAGTCGCACAGACTTGAATTTATTACGATGGCCACAACGGGTTTCCTTCCTTTGCTTCTACTCCTTATTTCGTACGCGTCATGTTTCCAAAAAGGAATTCTCAGTGATTTTGACAGTGATGGTTCAGGGACTTGTCGCAGCAAAAGCGTGGACGTTCACTCATTTCTCAGCACCAGGACGCCTTATAGAGTTGTCAATGGACGTTTAAAATATGACACGCCACGTAAATATTTTTAATATAACTACTCTCATTGTAATTTATATTGTTTCATTTTTAAACAGCTCAATGCGTGGCGCAACAGATCTGGATGACCATTCGACATGGGACAAGAAACCCGTCCAAATTTGTGATCGAGTCGATGCAAAATATTCTGCCTTCTTTGAGAGACAAAATAGTGAAATTGCACAGGGACGGAGAAGGTTTGCAATTCGAATAGTATTTAAAATTGGTAATAAATATCTTGTGTGTAATTATTTGCAGGCAAATTATGTGATTCGGAAGCTTCAAATTTGTTGTTTTGGCTTCCAAGATTGAACATCAGTGAAGAAAAGAATTTAGTGGCAGAAGGAGAGAGGGAACTGGAAGGTCTTGGCACCAGGGTGTTTTTTAATTTTCCCGAATTGCTATCACACGAAGAAAACAAATTTTTAAATGTAATTTTATAAAGAATTGTATTTTAATCCATTTTAATCATAATTTTGACTCATCTTATTTTGTATATTTTAGTTTCGCTACACAGACACCCAGAGAACTCTCAAAAGTGCCCTTCATTTTACAAATGGAATGTTTGGCTCAAACGACACCTCCCATGTTCAGTATTCGAAATCGCCGCACAAACATGATCCACTGTTGAGAGTGAGCAATACATTTTTAGTATTAAAAGTTTGAAAACTAATTTTACAACCAATTTCCAGTTTTATAAATCTTGCGAAAAGTGGAAAACCGAAATTGACGACCATCCAGACACTGGAATGCTCCACCAACTTGCCTTCAAAAATGGAAGCGAGTTTTCCGAGTTAAAAAGTGACGTCGCAAACCGCCTCGGACTGCAAGATAATGCTCTGACGATATGTGAGTGTTCTATAATTAATTCATTTTTGCATGTTTATCGCTTAAGCTTAAAAAAAATTTAAAGAATTACTTCTCATAAGTTAAAACTTAAGAAAATTTGGGTTTTTCACTCACTGTTTATTATTACTATATTTTTATCATTTTATTTCATTCAAATCTTAAAAGAAACGCCCCCGGGTGGGCTCGAACCACCAACCTTTCGGTTAACAGCCGAACGCGCTAGCCGATTGCGCCACGGAGGCTTCTGCCATCGCAATCTCTTTTGTTTTTTGTCGATCCGCGCTGTTGTTGGGTTTCATTGATAAAAAGCGCGCGCCTCTCTTGAGAGACTTGCGAGAGTCCAAGGCAAATATAAAAGAGGGTGGATGTTTCTTCCCTTGTGCGGTCTATGAGCATTTGAGCCTTTTAAAAAGATAGCAGAGCATGGTTTCGATCCACGGACCTCTGGGTTATGGGCCCAGCACGCTTCCACTGCGCCACTCTGCTTTATGGATGCAGGGGCGAAATGCAGTGGGTTAAATTTGATCCGACCGATGCACGCAATGCACTTGAGCGTTCGTTTTACAGTATAAACTTGTTCTTCGAAATTTTTACGAGTGGAAGTTCCAAGGAAATTGTTTTTATATAGGATAAATTAAAAAATCACGGTTTTTGTATTCATTAAGCAAACGCGATTGGCCATTGCATCATCCTTTCTCTCGCCACACACGCCCTAGTTTTGGCGGGCTCGATACACTTGAAGCGTTCATACCTGTGTGTGTGTATGAAAAATAATTGATTAATATCAAAGTTTAAGCATCGATTTCAGGAATTAAAATTTAAAAATATTAATATTTGTAATTTTCAACAAATTTAATGCAAAGATAAAAAAAAAATGATTTCTTTTTAATTCCAACAAATAATAATAGAAAATTTAGTTGCAACTGAAAATTTCATACTGCGTTAAATCATTTTTTTCCAACGGTTGATTTGTAGAATTGAATCTTCATTTGAAATCATGGGCTAGTTTCCTTTGTAGAAAAAACAAAAGCAGACACCAAACCAAATTCCACGAAGGAATTTAGAAAAAAAAATGTTAATTTCTATCATTTTTATAAAAAATTGCTGTTTTTTTTTTTCAAAGCTATGTATCAGTTCCAGAACTTTGTCTTTATTTTATCTCGTTGATTAATTAATTTTTTCAAATGTCAAAAAGTGGACATTGAAATTATGTACCAAACGTGCGCCTTCGAGTCGGCGTGGAATGAAAATGGCACCGCTTCTCCTTGGTGCGCAGTTTTTTCCAAGGAAAACCTGCAGGTACGTTTTTTGGGAAGAATATAAAGCAAAAAGTTATTGAACGCTGCTCAGGTGCTGGAATATTCATCCGACTTGAAATATTTCTGGAACGACGGCTACGGTTATGAAATCAACCACGAGCAGGCCTGTCCAATGATCCAGGACATGTTGGCGAATTTCAAAAAGTACGTGTGTTCTGATTTTAATTTGCGCAAAAGCCCGCTGGAGAAGCTGAAAAGTTTGTGCGTGACAAGAGCAATTATTTCCAGTGCTTCTCGGGCGACTCATCATGCGAAAGGAGTGTTTTATTTCACTCATTCAGGCGCGCTGCTCAAAGTGCTCGCACATTTGGGCTTGTACAGAGACAAAGAGCCTTTGCAGCACCACAATTTCGATCAACATAAGAGCTCCAGGCTTTGGCGAGTGGGCAGAATCGACAGCTTCGCCGCCAATCTTGCTGCCGTCCTTTACAGGTATTTAATAAAAATAACAAAAATAATAAAATTACAATACCTTTTTTGAATTGAACATAACAATTTCAACCAGAATCAACTTTTTTGAACATTTAAAGAAATCTAGCTTTTCTTGTGTCTTGTTTTCTTTTATTTTTTTACAACGTTAAATCTGGTGTCTACTTTTTATAAAATCCACCTTTTGTGCTGACTTAAATTTTAATTTTAAAATTTAAGCTGTGAATCTACGCCAAAAGTACTGTTTCTGCACCAAGAGCAGCCGGTTGTTGTGAAAGGCTGTCCGAGCGAGGCGCCGTACCTTTGTCCTCTGCAGCAGTTGGAGGAATTATTTCCCTCCTGCCAGTTCGATCAGATTTGCAAGCTGCCGGACTCAAAAGGTGCGAAAATTGAGCTGTGAAAATCTAGTATTTTTCAAGTTGGCTGTGTTGGGAAATAAATTTTTACGGGCAAAATCAAAACGAGATCTATTTTTGTAATTTTTTCTATCGCAACAAAAATTTCTTTGAATATATATGTCACCATAAATGCACAAGACTGCGCAAAAGGTAAATTTAGACGGATGTTGTCACACTTCTAAGAGTTAAGAGAAAAGACGTCTGGGTGTGAAACGGAGCAAAATAATCGGCGGGGTGCGAAAACCAGGGGGCGGACCGGAAGAGATTCCACGGCTGTTTTGTTGAGCTCACCAGAGTGCTAATCATAATAACCTGCGCCGCTTCTGTGTGCACGCAAACATCCTTCCCATAGGCCAGTGCTGGCTAAGAGGCCGTAACACACAATTATGTTCTCCGAGTCCTTCCTCCACGCGTCACCCATCAAGAGCCGCTTCTGAGCTCGCCTCCTTGCTCTCTTTTGATCTCTGATAAGTATTGACCATTTAAAAAAATTAATATTGAAGCTTATTGTAAATTTTCAAATTTTAAAAATTTAGAAAAGCTAAAATTTTTAAAATGGAAGTTAAAAATTCACTGGTAATTTTGAAACGTGGCAATTTTTAATTATTGATTTAGTCAAAACTCCTTAAAATTTCTTAAATATATAAGTTTCTCGTCTAATTATAATTTCATTTCTAATCGAATAATTTAAATTTTAATATTTCATACATACTCAATTAGTTCTTTAATATACATTTTATTTCTCTATTTCTACGTATTCCGTAATTATTAATCGAATCTATTAATTTTTTTTATACTTCATTTCAATTAAATTTTTTCTTCATCAAAAATAAAGGGAAAACATACAAAATCCAAATTTAATTTTTGTTACCAAGAAAATGACATTTCTTTATTTTTATTTGGCTAATTTGAAGGGGACTGAATGGGAGCTACTGCAGCTCGAGGCATTCACCCGCCACCGAATCCACCCATCGCCACCTTGTCACCGAGTCAATTAGTAAGAAAGTAAACCACACTTATTCCGTGAACTCCCTTGCAAAAAACCACGTCCTGCTTCGGTCCTGCGCGCTTTTTCCATTAATCACGCGTGAAAAATGCCGCCACGCGCTCCCGTCGCTCACTTCTTTCTTGCGATCCTTTTGTGTATTTTTACACTTTGTGCAGCGTCTCTTGTGATTTATAATGACATTAACCACACCGACTGACAACAGAAGAAGAGAAAAGCGCGTACCGAGCAGTAAACACGCGTTCTTGATCTATTTAGTTTTGCAAATCTCACGGCCAACGGTTTATTTTAACATTTTGAAAATTCGAACAACCTCTTGACCTAATAATAAAATCCTCACTCTCTCGGAGTGTGTTTGTTTTGCAAGCAATAATAATCTGTGAAATGAGCATCCAGCGTGCTCCAAAACAAACACCCCCAGTATGTGAAAGAACGAGACATCCCCATTATGCATGCGGTCGGCGTTTGAAGCCATTAACATACATTTAGTGCACTGAGAGACCCCATATTAGAATATCATTATATCTCGCCTCCTTTTCGCAGACCGGTCCCAATGACGAGAAGGAAAAAAAGAGGGTGCGCTACGTCGTGGGCATCGTTTGCTCCATAGGGGGTGTTTTTCTGCTCTACCACGCCAGCTCCGTGCAGAAGGGATCGTCGAGTGCGATCGCCGGAATCCTAGTGCCGGCTGCGATCATGGTCACCTACCTAGTCTGGGTCATGTACTCGACCAGGGCCAACAGACAGAGAACAGCCTTGGTTAGTAGCAATTTTTAAAATTATTTCATAAAAATTAAGTTTATAATTATGGCTCATTCATTAGTTTAAAATGCGTAAATAGCGGATAAAAATTTCTATCAAGACTGCTTTTTCAAAATCCTCAACTATTTTTGTTTTATCATTTTGTAGTAGAATTTCACGATCGAGGGTTGATTCATTGTGATTTGAATTTAAAGTCGGCTTTTCCTCGAGGGGATTATATGTGAGTTGTTTATTCTTTAAGAAAAACAATATCCTGCTTACATGTCTCGGCTGCAGGCTGCAGCCATAATTCATGAGCTGTGAAGTCATTTTGACAAGAATTAGTTCAAAAACCAATCTTTTTTTTAAAATTATTTCATTATTGTTTTATTATTGAATTATTATTTTATTTTAAAAGAAAAATAATTTTAAAATAGATAGATTTTTTTACTAATTCTTGTCAAGGGACCGTTCATGAATGATTTAAGATGAATTGGACAGATTTTTTTTGTTACGAGCACCACTCTGATTTTTAGATATGTTGTTAGGGTTGATGAGAAACTACTTTGACCAAATTTTGAGACAAAAATTTTTAATACTTTTTGAAATATTCGGGTTTTTTGAAAAACTAAAAAATGCCTATATCTTTGCTCGTATTAATTTTAAAGTCATGAAATTTCACCCTAGTAGGTAACTTTTTGTTCTGAACAACTTTGCTGTTGACCAAAATGTCGTAGGTCAAAGGTCAAGGTCACTAAAATGCATTTTGAGTTTTTAAGGCCCATTTTCTCAAAAAAGTGTATTTTTGATATTTTTTGTGTAAACGCAAAAAATGTAGGCCGTTAAATTCTACATCTGGTCAGCAAAATTCGCGATGGCGTTATTTTTAGTTTTTAAGATATTTTCATGTAAAATTAAAAAGATGCGTTTTGCCGATATGCCGTATTTTGATATTTTTCTGTTTTTTTATTTCTAGGAGGACTAGAGCAATGCGGTTTTCACTGTTATACCCAATTTTTAATTCTGAACAACTTTTCTGTTGAATAAAAATACGTAGGTCAAAGGTTAAGGTCAGTAAAATGTATTTTTATTTTTCAAGGCCATTTTTCTCAAAGAAGCATACCTCGGATTTTTTCCGTGTTATAGGAAAAAATGTAGCCCATTAAATTCTGCATCTGGTAGGTAAAATTCAGAATGGCGTTATTTTTAGTTCAAAAGATATTTCAATAAGTATTTAAAAAGTTCGTTTCCGTACATATTTTCCATAGTAAATTCTAACTTTTTTTTGCTTTTTTGAAAACTTATTAAAATATCTTTTGAACTAAAAATAACGCCATTCTGAATTTTACCTACCAGATGCAGAATTCAATGGGCTACATTTTTTCCTATAACACGGAAAAAATCCGAGGTATGCTTCTTTGAGAAAAATGGCCTTGAAAAATAAAAATACATTTTACTGACCTTAACCTTTGACCTACGTATTTTTATTCAACAGAAAAGTTGTTCAGAATTAAAAATTGGGTATAACAGTGAAAACCGCATTGCTCTAGTCCTCCTAGAAATAAAAAAACAGAAAAATATCAAAATACGGCATATCGGCAAAACGCATCTTTTTAATTTTACATGAAAATATCTTAAAAACTAAAAATAACGCCATCGCGAATTTTGCTGACCAGATGTAGAATTTAACGGCCTACATTTTTTGCGTTTACACAAAAAATATCAAAAATACACTTTTTTGAGAAAATGGGCCTTAAAAACTCAAAATGCATTTTAGTGACCTTGACCTTTGACCTACGACATTTTGGTCAACAGCAAAGTTGTTCAGAACAAAAAGTTACCTACTAGAGTGAAAATTCATGACTTCAAAATTAATACGAGCAAAGATATAGGCATTTTTTAGTTTTTCAAAAAACCCGAATATTTCAAAAAGTATTAAAAATTTTTGTCTCAAAATTTGGTCAAAGTAGTTTCTCATCAACCCTAACAACATATCTAAAAATCAGAGTGGTGCTCGTAACAAAAAAAATCTGTCCAATTCATCTTAAATCATTCATGAACGGTCCCCAAAACGATTTCACAGCTCATGAATTATGGCTGCAGCCCGCAGCCGAAACATGTAGAGCAGAATATTGTTTTTTCTTAAAACAATTAAAAAAAAAAAAAACATTGATGAAGAGCCAATTTTAAATTCAAATCACTACATTATATCTTTTATTAGTTAAATTTGTAGTTTTAGTGAACTCGATATTGTTACCATATTTTAATTTAAAATTTTCCTAATTTAAGCTCGCAGCTGCCATTGCATCGCAAAACAATCAACAGACAAACGCTGTCCAACCCACCACACCTGCACACAGCGTGATCAACATGCCCGACAACGTGTCCATCTCCTCTCAAGCGTCCATCTCGTCCTCAGCCCGCGACTCTTCCAAAAAGTTAAGTGCAGTGCCAAGTCGGTTGCGCTCGTCCTCAATGCACCAATCTACAGACAGTCTAAGTAGCCGGATCGTCCAGCCGCACACCTTAGAGCGTTCGGCCGTGGCCGTCCACGGCTCGAACTTGACTCTGGCCGCCTCTTCCTCCAGACCGCACAACCGGTCGTCGGCCAGTGTTCACCGACAGGCGCTCGGCCGCTCTACCCTGCACCTGAACAACACAAGGCAACTGGCCGCCGCCGTGGCCACCCTGCCCTCGTACAAGGAGGCCGTCAACAAGAGCAACTGGGTGCTGGACAAAAACCACAGCATGGAGACGTTGCTCGGCAGAAACAAGAAATAATTTAACTATCATACATGACGAAAAATACGATAAACTTAAGGTTTTTAATGTTTGTGAGGGTGATTCAAAAATCAAAACTGCTGTAACAACTATTTCGGTTCTAAATCAAAATTTAGAGATTAAGAACTTTTCATTACTAAATTTTATTAAAAATACAACTTTGTTTAAAGAAACGGTTAATTTTGTAGTTGTTGCTTACTTATTGCAGCTTCAAAAGAAACTTATTATATATTTTAGAATAATTTTTTAATTTTTTCCAATTTTGCTTAGGAATTTTTCGTTTCTGAGGTTTTAGGTAGGTTTTCATTTTAATTTAAGTATGCTAAAATTTCATTAGAAGTAATTATTATTTTTTAAATATTCGATCCTACTTTAAGACCATATTTTATGGAGAGAAAGAAACGTTGGTTTTAATAGGAATCTAAAAATTATAATAAAAAATGGGTGGGTCGCACATAATATATAATTTTTGAGATATTTATTTATTCAATTCCTCACTTTTGAATGTGCCTTTTCTGTACTTGAATCGCTCTCCCCGAAAAACATTTTGATGTACGTTTTACCGAACATTATATTGTATACTGATGGTATTTTATGGAACGGTTTTCAGACAGAAAATTTTAATACAGATTATGCTCTTTTGAAAGAAAAATGAAATTATTTATTTTTAAAACATTTACTCTAAAAAAAACGTTACACCCTATCAACCCACTGAGCACTGGTCGGTTTAAATGTAACAAACCCCCGCTTCTGTTTTTGCAACAAAAGCCGCTCATTATTATTCACCAACAAAGGCCGGCGTGATTGGAGTCGATCGTTAAACTTTGCTCAATAACGGCGCACACACATGTGTCGCTTACATATAATTTTGTAATTTTTGACAAAGCTTTTCTTCTCCTCCCCCGTGAGCGTGCGAGCAACAGTTTTTTAAAGGGTGCGCGCTGCAAACAAAACTGGTTCAGTGTGTCGGTGGGTTGGGGGTGCCGACAATGCTCCTCTCGAGATGCGCCGCCGAGTGAGGATCCCCCGCGAAATGGACCCGTCTGTGTCGGGTCGGCCCGCGAGCAGCTGGCAGAAGAGGCGCAGGGGTTGAGCGGGGTACAAGCAGCAGGAGCGCCATGTTTTTCCACCATGAATGAAGCAGTTCATTTTTTAGCAGGAGCGGATTTAACGGCGAGTGATAAGGCGAGAGGCGATTTTGGCATGCGTCGTCCTTTGCAGTGACGAGTGACGACGACGGTGTCCCGAGCGGTCGCCCTTCGGTGAGTGATTCGTCGACCTGTGTGTGTTTATTGTTGTGCGAATGGACCAGTGCACAACACCCATTGGTCGTGATCCACGCACGTCACTTGTCAGATACATATTCAAAGTAAGAGAATTATTATTATTATTATTATTACCCGACAGATCTGTTTGCAAAACTCTGCAAAGTTAAATGCAGCAAAAGTGGGTTAAGTGGCTCCGGCCCGAGAGCGAGTGGAGTGTTTCTTTTTCAGCGGGCAGTGGCTTGATGTGCGCCCAGTGTATGTATTTTGAAAGCACTTTTTTTTTAATTTTTATTTTCCTCAAGGCGGAAAAACGCTTTTGTTGAAAAATGGTAGGTGCTTTTTCTTCTTCTTTTTATTCTCCTCGCGGAAGGAAACTTTAATTTTATTTTTTTTGCGCTCACATGTTTTTCCCTAAATTGTAGTGTTGTTCGCATATGACGAGCGCCACCACAATATACATCCTGTTCTCCGGATGAAAAATGCCAGATGCTCCTCTCTCGTGGAAAATGATGCACGCAGTGTAGTATGGCATAGGTGACAGATATTGCCGCGGCGATGTGGCGCTCTCACGCAGAAAAAGCTTTCAAGGGCTAACAAAAGCAAAAAGCAGAGTTCTCTCGCAGTCTGTTTGGCTTCCTAAAAGTCACTGGGCACAAATTAACGCCACACATCTCAAGGTTAAACGCAAGTATTTATAAATAGTCTTGTCTAAATATACCCCACCTTTAAGTGTGTATTATTAGCAAATAAAAAAGTATATACCAAAATTAATATAATTATCTTGAAAATACTGCTGAAGTCTTTGATCCAATATTTTCTTAATGTGATTATATTATATGGACTGAAAACGACCGTTTTGATATTTTTTTTTGCCTACTTTAAAAAATCCATGCTTAAAAGTATTTTATTACTGTTTTTTTCTTTTTACAGACTCTTTGTACATATAAATATTTTCCGATTGAATCTTAATCAACTTAATTTATACTTTCTGCTTACGTTTGGCAAAAGTAATTACAAATTCCAAGCAAGACATTTATATTTTTGAGCCGAACATTTACATTAAAAACTGAAGTGGCTCGTCTTATTTGTAAATCACTACGCCGTGTTAATGACTCTTTATTAAACTGATATAATTAGATTTTAAGTCTTTACAACAAGTTCCAACTATTTTCATTGTATATTTTCATTGTATAATTAACAGGATTTTTCCAATGTAGATTCCTTAATTTTTTTTAATTAATTATCAATTTTGCAGAGTTAAAGTTATGGTCCCGCCAAAAAAATCACCTTTTAGATATGAAATTTCATTTAATAAAAGATGTACTCGATACTTTCAAAAAATCTAAAATTAGAGCTCCCAAGATTTTTTGAAAAAGTGAATTTTCTCTATAGAAATATTGAGCGTATTTTGATTATTTTATTTGAAATTATTTTGATAGAACCTTTAAATTCAGAAGGTTTATTAATTTTAATTATTAAATCCTGTAATCAATACCAAATAATATGAAAAATTGAAACTATTATTGATAAAAAGCTTTTAAATGTTTCAAAAGTCAAGCTTTTCTTGTTAGCAGAGAACTGAAATCAATTTGCCACGCGTTTAAACTCACTCAACACACACGTTCGCGTCAAGTGTGTTAAAAGCTGACGACGAGCATTCCTCACACTGCTCTTCATCTGCTCTTTTCCGACGAGATGTGCTCACGCAGCAACTAGATTTGCGGCCTCTATTTTTAAATCTGGTTCCCATCGAGTGCTGCGGCCGCACCACCGGTGTGCCCTCGACAGCGCTAATATTATTGTTTTCAAAACACACGCCCAAGCTTACACACTTGGTACTTACTTGAAAAGTTTATTTCGAGAGATTTTCCACTCGCCTCTGCCTTCTCTAACTCTGAACTTACTGTGGTGCCTGTTTTGCCGCAGGGCGTCTGAAAGTCTGAAACGGCCGCTGCGGAAATGCTCTTCTACCGGCCCTCGCCAGGGCCGCCGGGCGCCTCGCCCACGGTCGAACCACCCTCGCCAGGGCCCACCGACACGCAGTCCGTCGGCTCGGGCTCGTTGTCGAGAGGCTTCGGCCCCCAGCAGAACAGGACGTGGGCCCTCAAGTCGCTGGCCACCGGTGTCTCGGTCCTCGGACTCGCCTATTGCCTCGTCCAGGTAAACTTCTTTAATATCAAATTAATTTTCTTTTGAGTTTAAATTTTAATTTCATTATAAACTAGGCTGCTTATTTGGCACCAGAATCTAAGAGAACAGAGGTTTGGGTTGTTTTATTTTATATTTTATTATCCTTCTTTAGTCGATCTGTTTGCTTTATGGTCTTTAAAACATTTAATTAATTCATTTTAAACATTTTCAAAAATTTGCAAGGATTGCAAACAAAATTCAAGGTATAATTTAAAATAATTTTGAAATACTTTTTTTATCAATGAAAACCCTTCTTTAATAAAACCAATTTCTAATAAAAAATGCAATCCAAATTATTCAAAACTCGTCGTTTAGTAATTTTTTTTATTGCCTTTCTATCTATTTTGGAATGGGCTGACAACACATGAGTTATTCCCCAATTAAATGAATTAATTTTTATGAACATTTTATCAACAAATTAAATTAAACAAATATAAATAATAACTTTTGCTGTTTTGTGTTTCATGTAGCAAAAGTTTTGGATCCAACAATTCATTTCTTCTTTTCGTTTTTAGTTGAAAGAATTTATGATTTTAAAATATAATTTTAAAAATAAACACCAATAAGCCAAAATTTTATATCTAAAAAAAAATACGCTGCAAAATATTCTGATCCAATTAATTCCATTAATTATCAATGATAATTATAATTTCTAACTTATCAGAAATTACATAACAATTTAAAAACCTTGCAGATAATTTTTGCTTATCATTTTTTATTAAAAACTCTCAGAGCAAAGACGCTGATTTGACCTTTCCTCTTTTAGGAAGTTTTATTTTTAATGCCATATTTTTCTTGTAAAAATTTTAATTGCTCTCGTGTGTGTGTTATTTTTTTTACACTTATTTCATTCTTAAGTTCCTTGTTTGCTTTTAAATTGAAACTTGCAACCTTTTCCGGTTTTTTGGGAGTTGTTTTATTTTAATTTATGAGGACAAAACTTTCACTTTGATGGGAAAATGTGTTGCAGGCGCTGCAAGTGGCGGGCGTGCAGTACCTGGCCACCCTGACGAGCGTGTCCCTGCTGGCCTTCCTGCTGGTGTACCTCATGTGGTGCGCGACGAGCAGACGGCGCCACCAATTGCACGTGAGTACATTTGGCGCCGCCACTGCTGCCCTGCAGTCAGTGGCCAGTCGATAGAACTTTCTGTGTTTGTGCGATTCGATCCCGTTCCGAGCTCCCGTCGGCCGACGTGATTTTCCGGCTCTGACTTTGCTGCACATTTTCCTTCGTTTCCTTCTAACGGAAATAATGGTTTGATTTGCCCACTGACGTACAGGCATTCCGACATAAATTTTTCCTCAAGCAGAGCAGGAGGTGGTGAACTTTTAAGTTACCTATTGAGCTTTTTTCTGCTTCATCTCTTTGTGAGATACAATTTTCAAAAATACTTTAAAATATCATGAGTATAAGAAATTTTTTCTAATCCACCACAAAGCAGGCCAAAAACTGATAATTTTACTAATTTTCTTGGTGCCTCCATTGCCCTTTTTTATTCTAAATTTAAATTTACTTTCTCATTATAGTATATTTTGCATTAAAAATAGAAAATGGTGCCGACTGACCCTTTGAATTTGTTGATTTTGAAACAATGATCTTATTTCGCGTTTTAATTAGTATTTATTTGGGTCCTTAAAGCACAAAAAGATAATATTAAAATAAATAACAGAAAATTAAAATTCTTTTGAAAAAAGTTATACAAAAGATAAAATATTTTCTTGTTGTTTACATAGTAATTAAGGAGTCATTCCTATTTTTTTTTCACTCTAAGTAAACAATGTTTTGTAACACAAAGTTGGACAAATAAACAATAATTATAATTTTTCAAATTTAAGAAATGTTGATTTGTTTGTCTTGTTAAGTCAAGATTTGTCTTGGGAGGCCAAAATAGTGCAGCAAACGCCCTGATTTTTCTCTATTTTTTGTTAATTGTTCTCCCTTTCAACGCTGTGATGATAGCCTTTATTTAAATAAAAAGTACTTTTATACACTCAACGTTCAATATTAATAAACTCTAATACATTTTGCAAATAATAAATTAACTTTGTAATTTTCGTGCTATTTGTTAGTTTCTTTATGTACATTCAAAAATCCTCCAATCTTATTTTACAGATAAATAATTATCTAGATTCGGTTAGATTCGCTTGAGAAAAGTAAATTTGTTTAATCTGACTGTACAAAACGGTGAATAATTTGACGGCTCTCAGGGCAACTTCTGTCGCGTTTCGTGTTCAAAGCACCTCATTTCTCACGCAACCCTTTGAACCCAAGCAACGCCAATCACGATAATAATGCAATTTGTTCTCGCGCACACATAAGTATAAAATCGCTAACACTCAAATGGTGTCGTTATTTACAAATTCCAACCTGCCCAGCTCAAACCGCGTTCTTATCTTTTATGCAAATTACTCGCGCCTGGCAGGTCGGGGTGCGTGATAAATTATTTACGCCGCAGCTCATTCATAAATTATATCCATTATTACGACGTACGGCGCGCGAGTGGGCTGGCAAAACCCACGACCTACCGACCCCCCTGCGAAGTATGCAACTTGTTGACCTGCCGTGCAGTGCCGGTGATCGATCCGCGTTCCCTCGACTATGTTTCAACTCATCTAGTTAGCGAGAGAGCGGCGCTGTGATTCTTTCACATTATTTCATTCTTTTATCATTTTCAAAGTACAATAATCTTTGTGTCTCTAAAAGAATTGAAATTTAGTTAATGAAATTTATTGTATTTCTTCTCCATTCATAAATAAGAAACATAACAATGTATCCATTGAAAAAATTTAAATAAATAACATATTAATACAAATGTTAAACATCTTCATAGACTTATTCATAAAAACTTTTGTATAATATAAATTGCAAAATATTATTAATTTAATTTAATATTACAAATAAGCTACATTAATTTATATTATATTTTATACATTATTTCGCTTTTTTTATACTAAATCATTAGGTTATTCTCTAATTTCAAATACTAATCTAAATTAATTAAATAATAAATTAATTTTATTTTAAAATAATAAAAAAATTTATCTTTAGTAAAAAAAAAATCCATAGTTCATACAAATCCCAAATATCCACAGAATCTTCTTATAAATTTATTGCAACTCAATATTTCGTAAATAATTGTTAGGAAAATTACAAAAAGTACAAACAAAGCTTCAAAACAAACCAATTAACTTGAAAAATGTTCTTTTTTGCAAAATTGCAGGGCGGAGGTGTTGAAAGCGGCGCCGACTGCGAGTACCAGGCGTCGCTAGCCCCCGTGGGCCGTGGTGGGGGCATCGTTGCCCCTCGTGGGGTGACGCACCACGTGTCCCTGCCAAGCTGCTCATCCTCGGTGGACCTGCACGACGCCGAGTTGCTGCGATCGCTCGCCGCCGCCGGGGTCTACGTCGGACCCGCCGAGTACAAACCGCCCCGCACCATCACGCCGCCCCCAAGCTACGAGGAGGCCGTCCGGGGAATGCCTCCGCCGCCCCCACCGCCTCCGAGCAGTCTGCACCGACACCTGGCCAACAGCAGTCAGCAACATCAACCGCCCCCGCCTGAGTAGAGAAGAAGAAGAAGAAAAAAACACCAACGAAGAAGAAGAAAAAATATATTTAATTTTTGTCTCGATTTGTTCGTTTGCTGTTGATTAGCTTTTACGAGTGCACACTTGGAGAGAAAGGGCCGTGCCCTTCGCAATTGACTGTGTTAGCGTACAGATTCTAAAAAAGCAAATAATATATTGTATAAAAATTCGATTCAACTGAGAATTAAAAACCCCGACCGCGCCATTCGAGAAACATTTAATTGTTAAATTGATGCGATTGTTGTGCGAATCATAGCAGCTTTAAAGGACAGAGTTTTTAAGAACCTTTGCAATATTTACCGGTAAAAAAAGAATACATATTGTCAAGTTATATTCTAAATTGATTGTTAGCATGTAGAGAGGTACAATATTCTAAAGGCTCCCCCCAGAAAAATTTATATATTGAAACTCTTTTCAATTCTACATACGCTGTGTGTGTAATAGAGAGTGAGAGATAAACTTGCTTACTGCCGCGGTGTGGTTTTAGTCAAGTGTGCTTTCACCGGGCCGGGCCTAAAAATGTCCTGGGAACTTTATTCTGCACAAATGCTTTATGTCGACAATTACTCGTGGGACACCCGAAACGCCGCGGCGGCTAACGAGACGCCGGACGCCAACATTTCATCGAGCAACTCGTCAGCTGCAGACAGGAGAAGCCACTCCTATGTGAGTACAGTCCTTTTTATTTTTTTGATTTTTTTTTATATAATATTTAATTTTTTATTATTGTTATTTTTATTTTTGAGATGTCAGTTTATTTAAAAATAATTAAATGCAACACATTCATTTCTTTTTATTAAGAATCAAAGAGGATCAAAAATATTAGGATGAAACAATCTCACTTTTCAACTTTTTGCGCACATAACAATGCACGTTTTCATTTAAAAATGATTTGTGATTGGCCCAGAATTACATGAAAAAATTCTGATAGGCCATGCACCAGTTTTTAATACTCAAATCAAAAACAGAAAAAGCTTAATGCTAAGTTATAGACTTTTGGAAATGAAGAAATCGCTTTTCCTTGTTCAAACAAAGCTCTGAAGTAAAAATTTATTTATTGAAGTAAAAAATAATTAATAATTACTGCCGAATTTCTGTTATTAGCTGTGTTTTGTTTCTTATACAAAAATATTTTTTGAAACAAGGAAAAAATTTTGGTTCTTCATTTCACGATGACGAGAAGCATCAATCTTGTATAAGCGGAAATTTTAAAATGGTTTTTAACTCTAATTATTTATTTATTTATTTATTCTCCATTCGATATACAGTCATAATGTCAATATACACAGCAAAAAAAAACTATACATAAAGGTACAGAAAAAGCTGAAAATACACTTGAAAAGAGACATAAAAAATGGTTTTTAACTCGTAAGATGAAGTTATATATATTTGGAAATGAAGAAAACGGGCACAAATTTTCCTCTCGGGATCAGGATGGGATGTCGGGAGTGCCAATTTCTTCAATCAAAATATCTATAACTGATTAGAATTTCATGCACAAAAGCGTAGTCCGTTTTTTTTTTTTTTTTTTTTTTTTTTTAAAGAAGTATATTTTTCTAATCTTTTCGCGAGATTAATCATCCAAGAATAATTTTGAAACGAAAGTCAAACATTTGTTTCCAAACGTTTTCGGTGACAGATGGTGCCTCCAATCGCGACGTTACAAAACAATATTATCCCGCCTTTACATTTTTTAGCAGACGTTTCGAAACGAGCAATTTGTCTTTCGCATCATCAGTCTTTCGTTCGCGGGCCGCAAAAGTCACCGCGGATAATGATTCTTTTTATTGTTTCATATCATTTGTCTGGCGCTTCTTCTCGAACGATCGCGAGACAAATCGCGTCTGCCGACTTTCATCTGTCTGCGCAGAGATGCGGAAAGTATCGTCGTCGCCTTGTTGTTCGGCAACATTACGCACAAACACGATTACTCGCCCTTGAAAAGCACTCGCAGAGGTTGAACTTCTTCTTTTGCATTGAGAATTATATTATATGTTATTGTTTGACGACGAACATGGTGCGCAAACCAAAGTCATACACTTACTTCACTTGCTCTTTCCTGTCACCGACGCCACTGCCGTATATGGTCAGCAAATGCGCGTTTTGTTTTATTATAATGGCCGTAAAACGGCGCCTATTTGCGAAGCGAATGACACAATTTCCATCTCTCGAGATGCTGCAGCGCCGAAGATAAAAAGCAAACTGCGAATTTTATGATGCACTGCAGCTCGCCGTCGTAAAAATACTTCGCAGCGATCGTAAAGAACTTTGCCTAAAATATATGTAATAAAATTTGAAAATTATCGCACGTCGCTTGCGAAAGAAATTCCACGAAAATCATCACCGCTCAAGCACGAAATGCTGCAAGTGCAGCGGCCGCGGGTAATAACTGTCTGCAAATCTCGACTGACGAGCTCCAGATTTAGGTTCAAAAAAGAGTTTTGCGCTACCACTTTTTAAGATTTGGAGCAGCAGGTTTATTAAATGGAGAATTCAGAATTATTAAATTTATGACTAAATTATAGAATGGAACCTAAATTCGCTCCCTTTATTTACTATTTTTTTTAAATAATACTCATAAATAATAATTTATTATTATTTGCTGTCAACTCTTAAAATTCATAGTTATATAATTCACTACAATTAAAAATAAATACTTGTTTTTTTCCAACAAAAAAATTCAACGAGAATAAAACCAGTGCTAAATTTTAAGTTGATCAAGCTGATGAGCTCCTAGGAGTGGAAATTTCTGAAATGAAAATAAATTATTTAAATATTAATTAATATAACTATAGCAATTATAGATCACAAAATTATAATATAAAATTAATATTTATTATTTTTATTTATTAAAAAATACTTAACATTGTGTTAGATTTGTTTACATTAGAGCATAAAAAAATACTGTTTTATACTAATTACAAATTTCTTGATGATGTCCTATTTTAGTCTTTCTTATAAATCGGTTTAAATATTAAGAAAACTGTGATTAATTTTTAATTTTTGAATCAAATTCATTTTTGTTATGTTGAAAAAATTTAAAACAACGAGTGACAGAGAAATTAAGCCAAGTTTATAAATAATAAATGAATAACTAAATTAAACTGAGAAATTGAAATCATTTTACGAAGGGGATACGTAAATTTGCCCTCTTTATAGAATTATGAATTTTGCTGGAATGAAACTCCTAAATCGAGTCGTCAGGGCAATTTGAAGGGAAGCAAAAATGCTCATCGCAATTTGCCGGCGGCATTCTTTGCTTCGCTCTTTCAAAATAGTCGGGGGTGCATAAATCTCTTTGGTGCCTTCAAATTGAGGCGCGCACGTTGTATTTAGACTAGAGATTGCTTTCCTGACCTCTGGATATTGTTTTAAAGGGCGGAGCGAGTGCGGCTGCTTTTTCTCTCCATTGCCTGCCAAAGTTTTTCGCACACCACCTTCTTATGCGCCCCATGTGTACATTATGTACTTTCGTTGGTGCAAAAGAAGTGTGTATTTTCGCCCGACCCGCACCGCCGACGAAAAAAAAGAGCAGAAAATCGTCTTATACGTTCGTTCGTCGGTGTGGAAATATTGATCCCCGACCGTTTTCGCTCTTCGAGCAGATACATAAATATACTCTTTTCTTAAATGTATTTCCACCGCCGAAGACTCGCCATTTTTCGAGCGAATAATTTATTTTAGTCCGGTGACGTAAAAACCAACGCACGCAGTGGTTTTTCGTGGAGCCTGACGGTCTTTTCGTTGTTGTTCGGAGCATTTTCGTGGTGGGTGACGCCAAAAGTTTGAGAAGAATTTCGCCGTGTTTGTCATACTTTGAAGCTTAAACACTGCCGGATACGCAGAAAAAGCTTATAAATAAAGCACGTGTTGACTTTTTCGTTATCAATAATTTCTAACTTGTGTGAGAACTTTTCCAGGCCCTTTTACAAAGTTTTTCAATTGAAAGTTGTAAAAATAGAAAATAAAGCTTCATTTAAAAAGACTAATTAAATCAAAACAGAAATTCAATCAAATTTACAACTTGTACTTGAGGATTGTAACCTCAATATTTCATCGCAGAGTGAAACTATTAGCAAATTTACCCAATTTACCGTTTTCCCACGATAGCTGCAAAACAAATCGTGAAAGTTTAATCAAAAAAAGCAATACTCTCATTTAGAAAGATAAAACAGGCGGTTGTGCACCTTGTAATTAAAATTTCATTCAATTATAAAATGAGAGAGCTTCAAAAGTTATGCAAGACTTGTAAATAAAATATTAATCTTGTTAAGATATATTCTTAAGCTCCGAGTAATTTTAAGCCTTAAAATAAACCAAGTTTTTTTTTCAAAAAAGTATTTATAAAGAAAAAAGAAGTCAATTTACTGCAACAGTTGGAGGTCTTTTTAAATTCGGAATTTGGAAATAGCAAAATATTTGCTTATGATTGTGCCTTTTCCCCCCAGCAATTGTTTTTCCTTCAATTTAATTTTTTTTTAAATATATATTACAGTTAAAAAACTTAAATTTGTTCAATAATTACAAATTCACGAAAATATAATAAAAATAATGAACATAGAATTAAATAAAAAAATTAATCCCAGTTTCTTAAGTTTATTAATGTTCCTACTACAAAGCAATCTCTGACACCATAAAATATCCATAAATTATTTATAATTACAATTACAGAAATTATATGACAGGAGAATAACGCATAATAGATTTTCCGAGAGAGCTTTACAGGGAAAAAATATCATATCTAATCTTTATGAAAATAGATATGGAGCTCAACAGGAGCTCAAAGAACCAATTCTAGCAGGGAAAGAAATTTTTTCCTTATTAGGCGAATGATAAGGGTTGTTCACGGATCTCCGCGTCGTGCTCTTGTGCGGCCGAGGCGGCGCCGATCGCAGCGCGCCGCCAACGCTCCGGGAGTGTGGCCTGGCCCGACGCGGCCGGCCCTCCCCACAGTCACTAGTCGCAGTCCTGCTCGGCCGGTCACACCGCCGGCTTGTCGCGCTGCAGGTCCTGCAACCACGCCGAACATGACTTATTCCTCTCAATTCGCGTGAACGTGACCTGAGAGAAAACAAAATCGAATTTCTGCGTCGGTGCTCGCCGCGTCGAAAGTGCGTTTCGGACCGATTTTAGCCGCCCCCGATTTCTACTGTGTTTACGTGAACGTGAGTAAAAGACACTTTTACTATTTATTTATTTCGGGCTCACTTTCGGTTTTCGGCGTTGCGTAAGCTTGATATATGTAATTTCACCCGAGCTGTTGTGCTTTCGGTTGTTGTTTCGCTCTTTTTGTATCTTTTATTGGCGCCGATACAAGAAAGTTTAAACCCTGATGTGGTTTTGTGATGCCAACTTTTGCATCCTCCGCGCCCATGGGAAAACTGCTTCGCAAAGTTCCGCGTTCGGTGGTGAGAAAATTTGCAATTTCTCGCAAGAAGTGCACTTTTTTTGTTGATCGTCCTTTTCTAATTATTGCTAATACAATAACAAAAAGTTATTATTTTGAATTTTTAAACTTTGCCAGTTCTATAAGTTTACAAATTAATTCAAATTTAATTGGTATTTTAACCTTTTTGCTTATTTAATGTTTTTTAATTGGATTTTTCCATTAAATTTCATTTTTGTATTTGCTTTATTTACTCTGTTTTTCAAACAAACAGGTGCTA